GCTTGTTTGTTTTTATTTTTCCCTTTTTTTTCTTTTTTTGTTGTTGCGTTTCTTGTCACAATAAAACTCATGTCTGGAAACACAAACATGGCACAGAAGCTCTTCAATAATTCTAAATTACTTAAAAAATATCAGCAAATAACAGATATCAAATTCAGTAACTTTTACAGAAATATTTAAGAAAAAAATTTTTATGTTTATCAAATATTTTCAGATATAAAAATTCTACATCTCACCATATAAAGCTCGTACCAGCCCAAGAAGGGCAGGGTCTGAAGGGCGACTGAGAAGTCGAACGAAGGCATTCCAGCTACTGATGTCTTCCCAGGTGAAGCCCAGCAGTTTTTTCATCTTGTCCTCTTTGCCCGCTTCTTCCTTTGATTTCTTCATTTTACTGTGGAACAGAAATCAATATCTGTGTCTTTAATTGTGCACACAAAGTTCAGGAAATAGCAACCCAACTGGTGGTTATTATGGCTGCTAGTTGCTTATGCTATCACACAAACTAATGGTCCTCACGCAATATCTTAGCAGATACTGATTAGGATATTAGCTACAGTAGCTGCAATTTTCTTTCTAGGCAGGATATATGGGGTTAATGGACAAAGAAGGATTGTTCATGGTTATGAAAATACATTGGTATCTTTTGTAGTATTCTGCTTGAATGAAGATTAATGAATAGTAAGAATCGAACAGAACAATCTTTCATCTCATCAAAATTCAATGACAAATGCAATTCAAATGACATTCAAAAACAAATGCTACTTTTTATTATATGAAAAAATACTATAAATACCCGCTACTCTCTCTCTCTCTCTCTCCTTCTCTCTACACATGGGATCAATTAATCCAATGTTTCATTACACTTCAAGCCAGTTACAAAAAGCACTTTAAAATCAATAATGCAATAGTCTCAAAATGTTGACTTTGTAACCAATATCTGTCCTATTAATCATATTACCTTACGACATAATAAGCTAAGCTGTGTGATAATACATCTAAGGACAGACAGTGGCTGTCATAATAATTTGCAATTAAAATAAAATAAAAGAATTGTAAACATGTCTAGTTTCATACAAATAACACTCATTAATAATAAACAAAAAATTTGTTAATAAAAAAATAGTATATTTATACATATATATATATAATTCATACATATAGCCTGAGTCCTACATGTAGCATTGTGGACCATGGATAGCATAGTAACAATAACATTATATGATAACGATTAAATCATTCCGAGTAAGTGAAAGAAAAATCAATGTTCAACAGGACACCTTTTTCTGTCATAATTACCCAAGCCAAGGTCATCATGTGTGAAACAGAATTGCATAACACAAAACAAGCGCCTCCAACACTATGCAGGACGTGGCACTATCAATAATACTAAACATCCTGGTTGTGGCTGGCGAATACCAGAGAATCCGGGTTCACAACATTCCCACCCCCTCCCTCAAATCCGGGGTCCGACGCCCCACTCAATGAATTTTAACATTCTTAGACTACGCTCATTCACAAAAATAGCAATCGATCAATTTCTCCGATTAGTTACGTACGCGTACGTGGAATAAACTGCAGAAAAAATGCAGTATGTGCTCGATCGAAGCAGTTGAGTTAATCCACATGTCAAAAGTAATAACACATGTGAAGGCTACACGTAAATTCGGCAGCACCTATCGCCTCTCCATCAACATTTCTGAAACTCTTTAACTCTTAGAATACCTCAGTCTCTTTGTTGGTTGTAAGAACTTACCCGCTAGTAACTTGACCACGGTTGATCTGGCGCGTATTGCGACAGTTATGCCATTATAGCTTCAAGGTTGTGTACAAACATTCCGCTTCCCCCAGCTGAGTGCCTGCTTTTAATCTCCAAATACAAAAGATTCCGAGGAAACCGGCGACCTCTTACGGTTATAACATAAGTCATCACAAGTTTTAGTGGATGTAGACTCTTCACATTTTAATGGAGTTTTCGGCGGATTTGTCTAAATAAAAGTAAGTTAAGTGTACGGTAATTGAAAGTAACCCGAGTGTATTTTTTCTGCTTTTCATGGTCTAATTATTCTAAAAAATAAGTTACTTAAAAATCCCCAGTGCTAATTCATGTTATGTGTATAACACAGAAAATAATGACTTTTAATTTTATTTTTTATTCCATTTTTTAGTTGAGAATATATTAAAGATTTCTAGAGTAAGACCTTTTGTTATAACCAAACCACAGCTACAAGTATTAACAATATGATTATGCTCTATTTTGGTTCACTAAGAATTCTTTTAAGAAACTAACATAAATCCCTCAATTTTTTATATTTAAAATGCATCACAGACAAACGTGTTGAAAATTACACAAGAAGATATTAAAATTAAACAGTAACAACTGCAAGTTACATTTTCATATGGGTATAATTGGTCATGTCATGACCTAATGTTTATGCATAAATCAAATAAACTATGCAATGTTCTCACTATTGTATCATAACTCTATAATTCACATTAATATACATTTACCTTTGAAAGCACTTGGCAGAATGTATCCAATTACAGGCATTTCATTACCTGCAATTACACTATATTAAACATCTTTAAATGAAAATATCAAGGAGGGGCTTAATTATCTACACAACCGGACCCATTCAACAAATTTTGATAACACTTTCAATACTTAACTCCACATAGTATTTTCCATTAATTTTAAAACATTGACAAATCATTAACATTTTTTGTTTTGCCAACTGATTTGTACTCATCTATCACAATTATAAACCTTCATTGGTGATCTATTTTTCATGTTGTTTTACAGAAATGAAGCCTATCTTAAACATGGTATATTTAAGTCATATACAAGTTATCAATAACATAACTTTTTGCAAAGGAAATTAGCCACATTTCCTTGAATCATCTTCTTTTTAAATTCTAGTATCACACCAAACATCTTGCAATTTGTTAAGTACTGAGCAGTTCTCACCAAATAGTTGTCATACTGCCTGCCCTTCAAAGGAAACTATGAATTAATTTGGCATGTTTAGTAGTGGTCAATAATTTCTACTAGACAATATAAAGGAAACACATTCATCCTCCTTTGTGTGCTGCAAATTTACTATGAGTTTTCCACAATATATTTGATTTATAGTTGAATAAACCTGCACGGTGGCTACAACGATGATAAAAGGTGGACTTAAGTTTATCTTTATTAATCCATCATCATGACAACATAAATCGACCAATTAATCTATCAGTGCCTTTTCTGCTTCTTTCCTTTGCCAGATACATGTAGCTCTTTCACATGAGGCTCCTTTCCATGTGGCTCTTTCTCAGGCTTTGTTTTTGTTTTTACTGGTGGGTATTGTCCTGAATTGGCCAGCATCTGCACATACACATACAGACCCAGGGCACAAAAAGTACACACAACAAATATGTACTCCACATGATTGGGAAAAGGAGTGCCACATATCCTATACCAGCTTGTCTTGGGGGGAAGCTCCCTCTGGTTTGGAATGCAGTGGAAATCATAATACCCTTCATCATAGTCGCTGAGGCATAAGTACTTACGTTTAGACAAAATCTGAAATTTGATATGTTATTTATATTTATGTATATTTGTTACTTATATTAAAAACAAAAGAAAAACTTGAACTAATTACTTTAAAACACATAATATCAGTTTCATGTGTATGTTAAATAATCAAAGGTTTCAAATTCATCATATTATTTACTTGCCCATCTAAGATACTTCAAATATTTAATTACTGGCAACAAAAAAAAGTGATTTTTTTTCCATATTTACGCAATAACCAATATAGTCCTATTCAACATCTTTAACTGATCTTACCATGCCTGCTGCAGTATACACAGGTGACGTTTCATTGCAAGGGCCAACAGTTTCATGGAGTCCCATGGAACTCTGCTGCTCTGGTTTGGAGAACACCACCAGGTTCACGTAGAATAGATAGTGGATGATGACCAGTGCAGATATCTCATCAAACCAGCTGAAAAAATCTGAAATTTTCCATGTAATGGCTTGTTTAAATGGATTGTGGCAACTACAGATATCCTTATGTGGCTGAATGTAGGGTTAAAATGTGTTGTGTTGTGTAGAGTGTAAAGATGATAACTAAAAGTATAGATATCTTCATCATTCAGTTCAGTAAATATGGAATCATTGGAAAGTTGCAGCAATGCACTGTAATTTGGACAGTGTGTTAGTTGTAAGTGTGGAGAAAAAGACACATTTTTTGACTATGAGTGTGTTTAAGATTGAAATATGATGTGTACTTCCAAGTACTAAGTGTGACGGGTGACACTTCAATACAAAAGAGAAGACTGTATTTGTACTCATACGGTTAGTTTATTATCTCTTTACACAAACTTGTGTGACGATACTCATGTGTGTATGGTTCAAATAATTTTTTTGTCCTCTTTTTGTATGACAAATTTCTATCTTCTTGAATGTCTGCATAAACTCAACTGCTTGCATCTAAGCTGTCTGTCTAATCAACTACTCATGCTAAGTGGTAAGTGGCAGTGCCTATTATTAATAGGGTGTGTGTGGACTATACTATATGGTAGGGGTGACAGGTTATGTCCTTTACACTAAGTGCATTTCTTGTAAAAATAAAACGTTGCAAAAATTCATGCAAACACACCTTCACAACATCAAGCTGCTTTATGTTTGTGGACAAAGGGACATGACTTTACCTTAAATTAGACAGAAAAGACCACAGCCATAAATTTGGCAGTTACAATACACACACTTACAAACACACACACACACACACACACACACACACACACACACACTTACCTTTTCCCTCGGATCTGGCATCCTCCGTAGGATTCCTGTCTCCACTCCATATCACCAGGACATAGAGGGCAAGCAGGGCCAGAACACACACCTCCGAGTGAAGCTGATATACATCATGAAGAGGATGGTACAGTAGAATGAACTGAATGGTTCCCAGAGGCATGGAGAACAGGCCAGTCAGCACAGTACTCAGGAACTCTACACAGACACTGAAAGATGTAACAATGTATTGTGACCGAGCATCTTGGTCGTCTATAAATATAGGATGCTACAAACACCCAAATATATACATGGAAATTATGCTAATTGATATCAAAGGAAGAAACTGCAAAACAATGACCACCAAAAGACAATGGTGGTCACTTACAAATATTTGGCATCTGGAGGGTATATATGGTAAATGACCTATTAAAACACAATTAACGACTGAAAGAAGATTAAATTTCTTCTATTGACTTCTTATTGCTGATTTTTCCTTAATGCTGGCAAAAGAAATCTTACTCAAGATATATATCAAAAAGCCCATATTAATATTCATCTAGGACTTACTTGCTAGCTTCAAACTTCCCTCTGTTGTCCAATACCTTTCTTGTGCCATGGAAAATTAAACAAAAACTGAAAGCAAAAGAGGCATGGAAATAGTAGCTGGTCCAAGGCACCCAGTAATGGCGGTCATAGATATTGGGCTCTGTGTCATGCCAGGTCCACCACATCAGTTTAATCCCCATGATGTCAAAGGGGACATCCAGCAGGACCACAGCCAGTCCAGTGGCAAATGGTTCTGCCCAGGAACTTAACCGCAACTTGGATACTGATACAGATGCAGTGTATATGAAGAAAGGGTCTGAAAATGAAAGTAAACTGAACCTTTTTCACAAAGTCTGGCCCATAGCTAGGGAGGTTTGTGGGGTTTGGACAAACTGCCCTTTTTGCTGGGAAAAGGTCTACTCTGGGTAAAATTTGCTCTAGGCACACAAAGGTTTCATGGTCAAAGGTCCACTTCTTCTTAAAACACCCCTCTTTAAATTTGCTGGCTACAGGCCTGCATAGTAGCAGCTCCAGTAGAATAAAATGTCAGTTTTTTTACCCACTTCCACCACACTTCTAACATGGCTTTGCACCAAAATATACACAAAATGCTTTCCATATTATTGTCAACCCATTCTAGCCCATCCCTATATACTGCGACCCAGGATGTTGTGACTTTAATAACATACAAAACTTACAGAATAAGACAATGTGTAGAGGCAGTCTGCCTCCCAGGAAAATAATACTGGACTGTCCATGCCAGAAGTTGTCAATATCTGGCAGGAAGTAGCTGATACACTCTACAGTCCAGCCATGGAAAATGGTTGCCAGCCACAGGTACGGGTAGCGTCCTCCATGCCGTAGTGCTGAAATGAAGCCAGAATTCAGAGTAGCTATGAAAAATGGTTTTGGTCAGTCACTCCCTTTGGGAGCACATGTGACACAAAAATAAAATTTGTGAATTTAACATAATGAACAAGTGCTATGTTACGTATGCTGCCCTTAGAAATATCATGCAGGACTTGTAGAAAATCTACCTTGTCTACACTTTCAATGATGAAGTGGTGAGACATCTATTTGTACTCTGGTTACATATATAATATATAGTGTTCATTAAAAAATTGCATGCAGCCTTCCTTTTTTTATTAATACAAAGTTTCAAATGACAAACATACTAGTATTTTGTTGTGTGAGACAGCCATATACAATAGCATATAACTCATTGGATATATTGTATGGTCTTCTCCAGCCCAGCTATACAAGCTTATCTAGTTATCAGTTCACAGGGCACCATAGGGAAAGGGTTTAATATTCTATATCATGAATATAATTACTTAATGTGGTAATTAACACATTCTGTCTCTATTTATTATAAACATGTCTTTACTCACCATGGCTAAGTGTTAAAATTGCAGCTATGTAAGTAAAGATTTCTAGCATAAGGTAGGTGGGTTGTTCCCTCCATATTTCTCTGGGATCTCGAAACCACACAAACCAGTCCAAAAACTAGAACAAAAATGGAAAATGTATCAGACAAAAAAATTAATTAATAAATAAATAAAAATAACAGAAACTTCTATATATTACCAATGTTGCTTAAATGAGAGGTATTTCAGTTCAGATGGTGATAATTGTTTGGACTATGGACAGTCTGCCATGTCTGCTGTAATCGTCACATGCATTCTTCCAGTCGGATATTAAAATTACATGGTATTTGCATGACCACATGCATGCATGTATTACCTCAATCAAGTGGTTTGATTCTTTGAAATGTTATTTATAAATCAAAGTTATACGATCGAACTAATTATAAAGGACGATCAGTATAATACACCCACACTTGATTTATTCAGATCATTTTAATGTATTCAAATTAGCTAAAATGTTAAGGAGAGCAATACTACAATCGCGGTCAGTGCATAGTAATAATACAATTAGATTTCGTACAATGATCAGGCCACTGTTCAAAGTCCGTCCGACTGATACGATCCTAGTCAGTTGCAACAATTTGTAATCATCCCTTCTGCTTCATTTGGTCACTTCGGCTGAATGTCACTTCGGCCACACTTTATCACGTACACTAATCAACAGTGTTTGTCCACCGCTGTGAGCACGGAAGTGAAAATTGGCTTACCTCCTTTAACCCTCCCGCTGCCATGTTCAAACAGAGGTGAAGCTGACTTCACATTAGATATATAGTTTCGGTGCCTATTTAACTTTATTTTCACAGCCTTTTTTACATCTTCTTCTTTCTTGTCAAATGTCATTCACATTAATATTAAGATTAATTCACTGTGATGTACTAAATTATTTACATATCGCTTCAAAGAATCATAAATTTTAGTTTTACAAAAGGCACAAGAAAGACAGTATAAATTGCAGTTGCTGTGCTAAGCACAATCTGAGGTAACCAAGCTCAAGGCGAACACCCTGAGTTTCACAGGACACTGGAAACTCACCTCACTTATGCCCCTATCCTACCCCAACTACGAGATTCACGAACCGCCAGCAATTGACAAAGTTTAGAATGGCGAGGAATTACGGAAATTTGCACATTTCTGGTAGACATTTTGTCTCTGGGCTTCATTTCCAAAGTGGATGTTCAACATCGGGCAGTATTGGGCCTAGGACTGGATTACGAACGTCAACTGGTGATTATTAAACAGGGCCCAGTTTCATCAACACTGCATGGTAGCGATATCCTATGGATAACACTATAATTATCATTCTGGTGAAAGAAACAAGACATTATTCAATAATAAGAAGAATGAAAATATATATTTGAGTATAAAATCCGAATTTGTTCGGTAGGCTTTACAATGCACACTAAAAAAAAGCTAGTAAAAGAAAAGAAAATTTGATTAAAACAGGATAAATTGAATTAAACAAGTAATGATGTTAAAAATGTTACTTCATCACTCACTTTAAAAAGTCGTTAATAAAAATTCTATTCATAATTTTAAATAAAAGTCTTCAGTTCCCGTCGGAGAGTCTATCCTACATAGGCCTACTAGTAGTAAAGGTGAAAGCATAGAAGTAGAGAAAACAAACTCCATACCCTAGGTGCAGCGACTTTTAAAAAACTGTCACCATATGATATCAGACAAGTCGAGCTTTACACGGTGTTAAGAGTAAATGAGAATTCAACATAAATTCACGCTTACATACTGCTTTCAGTCCCTTTTTCTTTTATAAGCCTTTTAATTTAACAGTGATTTAATTTTAAATTAGTGAGATTACATCTTCCAGATCCCAAACTTCTGAAATAAGGTCCGCTTTTGCTATTCCTCAACTCAGTGCCACTTCTTTATACTGCTTACTTTCTCCGCTGGGCAGTCCGTGGTGTGATAAGATTGCCAAAAGGATTTATAATAAAATTAATCCGGTAAAGGTAATAGTGTTGTTTCTCCTTCCTAATTTAAGATGCATCTATCAAAGAGACAGGGACTGCGACAGTCAGAGAGAAATCAATTATCGAAAAAAAAAAGATAAATATATCGTCATATTCCTATCATTGTGTATTCAAACTATCAACCTTCGACGATATTACATGTACTTGGCATATTTTAACAGTGAATATATATGTATATAAGAAAGACCTAATTTTCTTTCAAGGATGTCGAACGTTATCATTATTATTGTATGTTATGCTGTCCTTATTAAAGACCGTCGGATAACGAGCAGTAAGGTAATTACATGTGGGCAATCACAAATAATAAGTAGACCTTCATAATACTCAATTTGCACCTGCCTTTGTGCCGGAACTCGGTGCTTTCGGTTTCATTGATTACTTTTTCACAAAATCATATGAAAGTCACTGGATGGAACAGAGAAAGAGAGAGAGGGCGAGGCAGAGACGGGGGCAGACAAAGATGGAAAATTGATGACACCTCAGTTTTCTGTTCTTATGTGACAAAATACTAAATGTGATAAGCATAATAATAATGAAAGTATGATATCATGGATGTGGCATTTGGGGTGAACCTTTCGTTTCAAAATAAAGCGAGCTTTGTTAGTGATAATCTCTAAATGTCTTAGATATAACATGCTTAGAATACTTTGAAAACTTTATCAGTGATAAAACAAAATTGAAATTCGAGCATGAAGGTTCATGGCAGCTTACGGTGGTGGATATTGTAATCCAACAAATGCTCAACAAAACACGTTTGGATGCAGTGTTTTGAATGAACTGATAAAATAAATCAAAGTTGACATTTGGCTTTAAAGGGAAAGTATCAAAAGCACTATTAGGATATACATCGTGGGCAATGTCAAGTCAATAATTTTTCCTCTGTGTTTTAGAAATTCCAATATTTCTATAAAAGTTAGTTATATGCAGTTTTCCAATGATCAGCCTTGGTGCGAACAACATTATAGGGACTGTTATAGTGTGTTGTAACGCTGCGGGTTTTATCTGCTCTACTTGCATAGCAATAGCGTTTATTACCTGGCTGCATTTGTATGAATAACATTAAAAGACGATATGGTTGGAATGTCACTATAAGAATGAGCTGTCGTAAAATGAGCGTCTCTTACCCACCTAAACAGGTGTCCTACGGACTGGGTGTGACAACTTTGAGAGAGAGACGTTTCATGCCACAAATAAAAAACAAAATAGTAATGCCGTTAGTCATCGCATCGTGCTTTGAAGTGTCGAAAGCGTGGGCTTTGACAAGAACTATTTGGCACACAGGGAATACATTGTATGAAAACATAATAAAAACTTTCAGATCTAATAAGAAGAAAGTGTAAATATGAATATCCCCTTATTCAAGCAGAAAAGCGAAAACGAAAACTGGAAAATTACTTGCATTTTGGAAGTTTAGGGCTTTTGATTATGTCACCTAATAATATCGCCCTTTTCTTTTTATATGGCCAAAAGTACATTGGTCTCACCTTCTTGATGACATAGAATGATCAAATATGACAATATGGATACACTGTAATAATAAAGAAGGAAACAAAGGAAAGAGTGATCGAAGAATCCAACGAAGAATAGACATTTTAAACCAGATTAATGAAGGCTAGATTTTTTTATTGCAAAATTAGAATAATAATATAGAACTTTGTCGCTTTAATAAATAATACCAGCTCTGCGACAGAGGCTGTGACGCGCCCGGATGTGTTTGGACGCAGGACGCTAAGAACATTTAGGGCACGGTTTGGGTTGTAGGCGTGCGTTCAAAGTTATACCGGCCGGCCTCCACAACTTGCCTGTGAGTCCTTTGGCTAGACCACAGCATTACATGTACAGGACAGAAAGTGAGAACACCCAAGTCAAGGTTTAAAGATAAGCGTTAAGTTCAGTGAACGACTCACTAAAACTTGGACTGCCACAAGTGCTAGCTGTGAAAGCTTCAGCGTTAACATGACTTTGACGGACACGAATCTCGACAACCTGGCCGAAGAAGGTAAGTTTCGGCTCCCAGACGGCCTATTACAATGTACATTTAAAAGGTATACCCCATATATTAAATGACACTGGATCTGCATCCGCGATCTAGATATATCACCACTTGTTTAGTTTGCACTGTTATCATAACGTGGTTCTCAAAAACGCCCTCTTTATTTGGTCAACAAATACCTTACTACACGGGACAGGTCAAGCCGGGGTGATGTTGTTACCATATCAAAATTACTACAGCCTACAAGTGATAAGACATCCTTTCATTCGATATAGAGTACACTGTACATCTATATATAGACTCAATTGGTATGAATCAAGCAAGTTACTAAACGTCACCGGCAGGCAGTAGCTGCTTCAGGCAATCATATATAAATCACACACATATATATTTTATTCGCATGGTGTCAGACTAAGCGGGTGTATTACACACTTGATATAGTTGGTGTTTTTTACTGGATCTCCCTTTATATTACGGCTTCAAAATCCAACGTTAAGCAGTATGCCCTGAGTATGTATGCGGAAAAATTAAAACCTGTGTTTAACCTTAAGGTTTATTGTACGCAGACATCATTTAAAGTTAATTGTGTATTTTATTTGCTATATACAATATATGAAGGAAACGTAAAAAGAACGCAAGAACATCGACGCACCCTCCTCACCGTGCTTTAACAGGCAAGTAAATGACAGGTTCCCTGGGTACCTGAGATACTCCAACTGGCCCTTGTAAACGACGAAGCTGGACTTGTCCCCAATAAAATTATCTGCGAAAATATTAAAGTCAGGTCAGGGTTAAAGCAGGGGATTGTTTTCTTATTCATACATCAGAACGAAACACTTGAAGACGAATTCAACCCTGAAAAGCAGTACCCTAGACAGTGCAAATGCCAAACACGCCCTCGCGCACACGCGCACAACCACGGCGTCAACCACTTTACTCGTCTCAGTACAATTACATTTAAATTCAACCAACCCCTGAAGGAAGATCTGCCTGTTTACGATTTATTCACATTATGTTTTATGACCTAGTGCATGATTACTATGTCATAGACATATTACCTGAAGACGAAAACATAATTCAGACGTTATTGCATATAAGGTAGATCTTATACGACATTCACTTGTTGCAATGGCAATCAACATGTTCAATTGTATTTTTTTTCACCTTTTAAACCAGTCTGATAACGTATTTAAAGATCATCTGTCATGGATATAATGTAATACAGTTGAATGTAACCACAGGCAGACATTAAATAAAGTAATTTAAGCCAATCTACAATGGGGTAAGATGCTAAGATGAGACAGCGTAATATACTGTCTCTCGTTTTCGTGTACGCAGTCATTTAAAAACATCCTAATTTCAAGGGTCAGGGAACGTCTAAATTACAAATTGTTGGTTTCTTTTACCAAATAAAGGCCTCCAATTATATTAAAAACCATTCGTGAGGTCAACCTTGGGTTTATGTTTATATTTGTATTTTGAAGTTACACAATGCTTATACTTGAGAACTTATTAAAATTATACAGAGATGGAATATGTGTGGGAGTGTACATGCACGCGCATTTGTGTGCATAGGAGAGGGAGAAGGAGAAGGAAATGGGCATATAGAAAACAGATTTTGCGTCTCTTGTCAGAACATGTATATATACGCCGATCTCGTCTACTTTCCACGTTGTGATTAGGCTACACCTACGATAATGCACCTACTACATTCAATTAGCAGAAGAAAAGAGTGGTGCTTGGTTTGATGTACAAAACACACTAACACGGTATAGTCCATAAATAATATAGACCTCGTTCACCGATGTGGTGTCAACCGTGTGTCATGGCCTGTTACAACGAGGTCACAAATTAAAATGCCGCCCTACGAGGGATATTGCCCATTGCGCATGAAAGAGCAATATCAGGGTTATATGATACCATTTGTTTTCTGAACCTTACCTAATTAGAGAAATTTTGCCAGGTTTTCCCTTTCCCACTGATTTGCAATGTGCAAAATACTTATTATCACATCAAGTATGTTAGTAACAAGTATACACCAGTGACCTGGCCATAGAAATGGTGATAAATACAATGTTTTAACTGTTTGAAATAAGTCTTTATATTTACTGCTCACAGCGATCCTTCAAAAGGCAACGTCAACCTTCAATCAAAAGCGAGAAAAGCGTGCTCTATTTTACGTCTCTGCTTGCTCCGATATCTCTGGGTCAAGTCGACCTGTGTATGCTGTGTCCCCTGTCACCCTTTACCTCTGCTCCGATTTAATGTGATCCATATCGAATTATATTTTTTGACGCTCGCACTTCTGTGTAGGAGGCTGTGATATGCGTGACCCGATACATACCGCAAAACAAAACACTAGCATTGAAGAGTAACATAAAAAAAGAACAAAAGGATATAAACAGCTTCGTCGAAGCATAAGGTAGTAAGTGCATCTTGGATTGTAAAACATCCTCGGTCATCCTGTGTTATTCAAAAATTATTTTTGAATCATATCGCGGGTCGTTACAGATAGTTTGTGTAAAGCTTGTGGTCTGAAGGTGCTGCACCAAAAGTGGTATAACTGGTTAGATCTGTTTGGAAATGTAATCCGCGACGCAATAAATAACGTCAAAAGATATAGGTAGGTGGCGACCCTCCAAAATTTGGATAGGTCACACCTCTTTCCATTACAATGCAACAGACTATTGCTCTGTCTGGCGACCAAGGACAACGCTTTGCTGCCTTACGTGTTATTGATACAGGCCTGTGTACGCATTTGATTTGTTCCTTACAATGGAAATATATTAGAGAATTTACGCTCCTTTGTAGGCTGTTCTCGGTTAACTTTACACTGTGATAATTGATAGATAAAGCAGGTCCTTACTGTAATCTATTTAGAACGTCTTCATGTGCCTTGAATTCATAAAACTAATAGAGGGGTTCTCTTCTAGTCCAGTGTACCCTTAAAATATGAACACAAATAGGAGGATATTTTGATCTGATTGTCAAATAGCTTTACACTTGAATGTGTTTTTTTGCTGGACGATTGTCCCAAACCTAATAAATATACCTCGAGAAAAAAAGCAATTTCTCTAACTTACGAATCATAACTCGACCTGTCCCTACACTCAGATTCTGTAAGGGATTTGCTATTACGGGGAGTTGTTTTGTACTGGGAACTGATTAGAAAATAATAGTAGAATTGTTAAGAAAGCAAAACAAACTCACAATTTTATCATTTTTTTTTACTGTAAATTTGATCAGGCAAGCACTCCAAGGAATATGATAGAATTATTACATAGTAGAGTAACATTATAATTACAGTGACCGTGACATCCGCTAATGCATGGAGACGGGCCCCAATTGTCTCCCTATTACCTAAATGGGGCTTTGTTGTGTTAACGCACATTTTATGCCAAAAATCAGTTTCATACATAGATAGCTTGAATGCAATGGCTGTAACAAAAATGGGAGATTAGCTCAATACAGTTGAATAAAGTTTCGTGCCAAAAATAGAACCAGTTTTTGCACATCACAGTTGTTAAATTATGTTGTTTTAAGTCGGCCTGTAAAATTGCGATAAGAAACCGAGAAGGGAAGGCTAACTTGTACGAAACACAAGTGAAGAAGGATGTGCCTTTCTTTGGTTTCTTTTTATCGAAAAAAAAGTAAAACAGATTTCTTATTTTGTGCTGGGGTGTGCTCAAAACGTAAGATTGATATACAAAAAAAACAGTGACTAGAGACGCTTTCAAAAAAAAAAATAAAATAATAATAATAATAATAATAATAAAATTTTAAAAAAAACATGACAGTAACGCACCAACAGACAAACATCAAATTTGTATGTATTGTTTTATGCTTACTGTCCGGGAATAAACTCCATGCTCGTATATCATTTATTACATGGAAAGTACTCACACTTAAAAGTTTTGTATTTGCATGCATATAACAGTTACTAAGGGCCAATTTATACCAATAGGCTTAGAAATACCGAATTCGTTAGTACTAGAATGTTGGTAGCCTAGCTACGTATAAATTGATCTTTGTAGACGTTGATAAGTGAAAATTTAATTGTCTTTTGAAACATACGTAGCCAGCGCGACAACCTAGACCGAGATTAAAACTTTTTTATAGCATGAAGTGCAGACCTAAGATTGTCTTCACTTTTTGTGCCTTCCAATTTGCTTGATGAAGTATTTATGATTAGTTAGGCAAAATTTGCTATGTTTATTATGTATTCGAAAAATATTGCATTATGGAAATTCTGAATTACTACTCTTAGAAGACGTTCTTTTGACGTTCACTCAGTTTTTTCCATTGATTCTTTGCAGCGGTTGTGATGACACCGTTGATCTTCGGTGAAAGTATGGTGGTCAGGGTGGAAAAACTGCCACCAGATGACATTGACTTTAGTCTAGTTCAGCACGTGGCGGGCGGACCGTACACCGGAATCTACGTTAACAAGGCAGTCAAAGGTAAGCGAGGAATCCACGCAAGCGCAATAAATACATATAGGACATTCAGCTTCCTGGATGTTTTCTTTCGTCAAATCCGTTAAGTTGACTTGTAGCGAGAATTATAACATAAACGTTTACCCTTATGAAGATGTTGCTTTACCTGAATATTTTGAAAAACAAAATTCACGTATCTCCGACTGAAGAATACAGTGTTAAAAAAGGATGTTTTTTTTCGTTACATAAAAGATAAAGGCTATCTACGATTGTAATAGTTGAGGCCTAAATCATTTGATTACTTGTGAAAATGATATTTTGAGAATGTTTGTATTTATGTCTCATAAAAAAAAATTGAAGCAGATATGTTTATACATGTATGTTTAGCACTCACTGCCTTTTATAACATTTTCCAGTGATGCCTTCTCTGGAGGAGCCGCAAGTGTCAGCAGGATTGAGAGCGTATTTGGTAGATCCCGAAGCCGACGACCCCGACGTTTATTATTTGGTACGGATCGTGTGTGTTCATGTATGCCTGTTTGTGTGCGAGGATGTGTCAGATATTTTCTGGTGATCAATAATTTTTTTAATTTCCAAGATGTCCTTTTGTTTTGCTGTTTTTTACGTCGTAGAATGGTATTTTCCGTGTGATCTCGATTTTTTCTACATCAGTCTCAGGCATCCGCAAACTCGATACGTAATGTTCCCCCTCCCTCGAATATCACAAGGGTCTCTGGTATAGTACACAAAATTGAAGATTCAACAATTTTGCAAGAGACTCTAGCGATACCTGTGGTCAGAGAGTAATGATCTCCAATGACCTCATCGTTTTCCATTTGGTTTGCATCCTCAGATACAAAATTATTTCGAAGTTTATTCCTAAAAGGCTCGGGATATATTTGTGGTGATTTCCGACGATTGCAAGGTCTTCTGAAACAGTTCTTTTAAAAATTAATAAACCCTTTACTTCCTTTCCTACATACCTATGTAACTTACGATATAGGACTTTGTTTGATATTTTCCTGAAATTTGGGTGCTTTCTGTTGCCATTCACAGAAACATTTGAATACTTTTATTTCGAGGTTTTTTTTAAAAAAAGTTTTGGGATATATTCGTGGCGCTTTCCAATGTTCTTGACATTTTCCACAAATTAGGTGTCCATAATCGTGACGAAATGCCGTTATTTACTAAGTAGAAATCGCTACGTTTTATTCGACAAAATATAAACAAACTCCTAGTTTCCCTGATGTTATAGGCCTTCATGTTGTGATGTTTTTGAAGTTTTCTACTTCGGCATTTTCACAAATATTCAATCTAGCAATCGCTTATGCTTTAGATCTTTTTAAAGGCAACTTTCAATATATATATGTGTGTAAAAATTCCCTTACTTACCTCTAACATGTTTCATTATACCTTAGTGGAATTCCATGTTATACTTGCGACCGTGGGTAAAAAAGAGGTTTAAACATAAATTTGTTTGTCAGCATCGGCATTGTCATAATCACCCTGCTTGATGTTGTTGTTATGGAGTCAGTGCTGACGTCCTAGCGTAATCGACTTCATAATTGCACTAACGTTTCTGCTTTCGTCATAATCGCATTTATAAACGTTTTGCTTTCGTCATAATCGCACAAACTTTTGCTTTCATCATAATCGCATAAACGTTTCTACTTTCGTCATAATCGCATAAACGTTTTGCTTTCATCATAATCGCATATAAACGTTTTGCTTTCATCATAATCGCATAAACGTTTTGCTTTCGTCATAATCGTATAAACGTTTCTGCAAACAAGATCACCGCATTGTCGCTGTTACTGTAGATCTAGCGTTGCGAATTTTTTCATTTTTGCATTCTGCCTCCAGACATGTAAGTAACGTTAGACCTATAGATCTAACTATGCCTTGACCATTGTATAGATTTCCTTTTTTCCAAATAAACGATTAACTTTGAAATCAATATAAAATAATGTTGAATTCTCATTCCATTAATAATCTAATTTATATTTTCGCTTGTAGCTGAAATAAAAACGACAACAAAAATACATTTTAACAGATAGGCCTAGGCCTACAGTTTAATATCCCAATTACATTTTCATAAGTAATTATCATGAAATTTAATTGTGATTTTGGTGGCAATTTCAGGAAGAACGCGTTTTTCGTTTTTGGTTCCGAGATGGTGTCAACGAAGCGTCCCAAGTCGCGACAGCTGAGAAGTTCTTCCAAGAAGTGTGTGATCCCGAGGAGTTTCCACGAGGTGAGAAGACCCAATAAATATACAAAAGGACATTGGTTTTAAACAATTTTGAACATTTTTTCCTGATTCCAGCTCAAATGATTGATAGCTTAGTCGTTGTGTAAGTTTCAATTAATTACATGCCAGTTGGAAACGCTCATGACGGTAGTGATTTGTTTCATCAACTTTTTTTCGCGCGTCACTGCTGTCACGGCGGCAAATATAACTATTGATGTGACCAAATATGTTTGCTTCTAGATGTAATCATTCTTAACATTTTTTCAACAGATTACACAAGTTTCGCTCGTCGGGTTCTGCTTCTCACGCGTAAATTCCTCATGATCCGTAAGGTGGAGCTGGAGTTGATCCCGGTGAACGAAGAATCTGCTCTTAGCGACTCCAGCTACATGCACCAACAGGAGGTCTTGGTGGCCACCACGATGTCCACCCTATCCACGGAGGACGCTGGGAGATCGGGACGTAAAGGCGCCGGTGTTCGGAGAGGTCCTTCATTTAAGAAACTGGTGAAAGGGCCTTCGTTTAGAGGTACGTCATCATCACCACCATCATCATTATCTTCATCAACATCATCATCATCATCATCATAATCATTTAGATTTCATTGCTCCACTTTTGGACAAAGGACAAATATGCTTCTTTCAGTGTATTTTGTCTTCGGACGACATGTACATGTGTAATTACCTGGTAGTTATTATGAAAGCATTCTCAAATTCTTTAAAAAGGTGTAGCGAATTGAAGCTCGTCCTTTTTTCAAATGTATACATGTATTTGCTTAACTGCAGGGTGTAAGGGGATTGGCACGCTTATATTTTTGCCTTTGATTTAATCTTATTTTCTCTTGATTTCAAAAATAGAAAAGCTGACTCCATCGAAGAGAGGGCGCGTGTTAATATGGATTGCCAAGAAACAGAAAGTACTCAATATTCTGGAAAATGCTTTTCCAAACTCTCTTGCTGCTGAGGAGCTAGTCAGGTACAAGTTTACATAAAAGCCTGATGACAGGCCCATCTCTTACATGATAATCACATAGTTTTACTACGAATCGGAATTGTGACTAAAATAAAACGCGGAATTTAATTAAAATATCCGCAGTATACGGTCAATCTATTTTTTTTTTTTTGTTTCATTTTGATATCTCTTATTTATTTAATGTTTTATATTCAGAATCGCTGGTTTTCGTTCCCAAGACTTGTTATCTGTGTCGGTGATTCTGAAAGGTCTCCAGTCCAAAGGTTTAATCTCTGAAGTCGCCTCTGGAAGCTGGATGAGGATACCCACCAGCACAGAGGAACATGGGCAGACTCACGGTAATGGACATAGCGAAGTAAAGCAGTTGTATCTGAAAAGTAGTAAAATGTGATTTTGAAATTATCACGACAGGTGTCGCATTTTTGGATGAGCCTATGCACAAGCGTACAGACTCGTGTAATTTTTTTTTTTCTTTAATTTTCAAATGACAAAACGTTGCGTCAATTGCAGCGCCTTTCCTCGTTTACTGACATTATATATTAGGGCAATACAGATAGCTGTTACATTTCAGACATAAAGCCTAGTTATATTGCCTCAAGTGGGATATTGAAATACATTTATCCAAAATGTCGATATGCCCCTTATCTAGTCCACTGCTACTTGTCAAATCTAACACAATAATTAACATGCACATGCACCATCTGGCACAAGCCACACCTAATGCAATATCGCTTCAAGAACACTCATGTTTTTTACCGTTTTCTTTTAGAAATCAAGGTGGTAAAGAATCTCCCTCAGTTGTCTGGCAGCGAACAGCCAACTATAGCTATTGTTACTTTACTTTACTGTGAAAAACTCGCCGTGGACGCCATGATGGATAGAAAGACAACATACGTGCGCTTTAAGACTGAAGGTAAAGGCGATAGTTTGATTCAATTAATTATCACGTGTCCGACAAACCAAAATGTTATAAAACGCACAAAATTTTGAGTGTTTTGTGGTGAAACGCTGTTTTATAAAAGACAATGGAAAATAGAAGTTGCATCCGTAATTAATAAATTTCTGCATATTCCAGATGGGATGCATGCATTTGGATCAAGGTCTCAAACACAGACTTATGTTTATTAAAATAAAATTCGGTTTCAATTTTTTTCAAGAAAAAATAGTACCCATGCATTTGTTCACTGTTTTACATTCTCCTATGATGTTCCAGGTGAATCTCTTGTGTACACAGTTGGAATGATAGGCCCACATAAAGTGGTGTCCACCAAACTCGCCAGGGTGGGGAGCGGCAAAGGTGCCATGATTTCAGCTGGAAACGTTATTACTAGACTTTCAGGTAAGACACGACTCAAATGCAATTATTTTATTAATTTTTATATTTTTAAGGTAGAAATTTTATCCCCATTCACTCATGACGATAACTAGCAGGTGTAACCTCTTCATTATAGGGTTATAGTTACTTTTTTCTCTCATAAAAACACACCATCTTTACTCCATAAGACAGACACACGTATTGCGATCACATTTTAGGTACATTCAATAAAGTCGAGCACGTTCTTCTCGTGGGCTGCGGAGGCGGCGTCCCCGACTACAACGACTACTCCAAGCACACACGCCTCGGCGACGTGGTCATCTCTCAGGCTGAGAACGCCGGGGACGTGGTTTATATGTACTGTCAGACACCGGATAAAGGCATGTCTTTCGATACAAGAGGGTACGCGCCGAGCGACCCAACAATTCACGAAGTCATCAACAGACTGCGGAATAAGTACGAGAACGACGCCTTCTACGGTCGTCCATGGGAGGCCTACATGGACGACGCACTGCGCGGGTTGGGTGATGAGGGATCACGTTTCGAAAAGCCACCTTCAAAGACGGACAGACTATACAAAGTGGTTGACGCAAACCAGATTGTTGAGGTGGAGCATCCTACGGCCCCTGACAGCGTCGACGGCGCTCCAAAACTTAACCTCCGCTACGGGCTGATCGCGTGTGGAAACACCATCACGCGACGCGATGACATACGCCAGGAGTTCGCTGTGGCTAACAACATTAAGGCCTACGACTGCGACTTCCAAGCGGTCTTCGACTCCATCGAAGGGAACCGTAAGGACAGCTTTGTTGTGATCCGTGGCATAGCAGACTACGTTGATGGGTCCAGGAAAAAGGATTGGCAACCTTACAGTTCCCTAGCTGCAGCTGCGTACATGAAGGCTTTGATCCTGTCGTTCCCGTATGACGAACCTCTCACACCTTAAGATGCTCTCATGGTGGAAACACCAATAAAGAAACATTCCTATGAACTTGCCTAACCGAATCAGTCCTGTGATTAGGTGCAGATTCGGTCGAATGTGAAAATTAATATTTCGTTACTGCTTCTAGCCTGTTTTGTCTAAATGCTAAATTTGTAGGCATGTTTTATGTTTTATGTTGTTCTCGTTCTGGTTGAAAGGTGAGAGTCAGGGAAGACTAAAAATAATCTCTGCTACTTATACTCAACGTCTATATGAACTGTGCGTTATATCTAAATGTTGAAATTTAAATTATTTTATGGACCATGATGAAAATATGTCCCGGGACAACATATATATATATATATATACATATATTCGCTCACTCCTAATCGTTACAGTGTGTTAGGTACATGTATTTTATAAACGCTTTAAAAGCTATGCTTTCTTCATGAGTCTACAATGGCAGCTTTGATTATTTTAATATGGTTGCTAGAGTTTTATCAAATAGGTAGGACTTACGAAAGTGAATACAATTGATTTAGTGCCTTAAATGTCTTTCAGGAGGAAGACTTATTTAGATGTATATTTGTATCTTTTGAAATATTTCATCTGAATAGCTTCTGCGATTCCCCACGTGCTTATGCTAATCATCGACCATAGTGGAAATAAAAGCTTATTTAGATAAATGCTTCTTTCTGCGAATTTTACTGAGTCTGTGTACCTTCATGTATACGATGAACGCAGCATTAAATTTTGACGATTTCTATATCAACCGTCATCTATTACAGTAACTTAATATACTGCATTTCAAAACTCTATGAGGAAGGTGTGTCTGTGGAAGGGTTTTCTAAAGCTGTGCATTGGTGGCTTAAGGGTATTATGTGAATTAAGGGGAACTATGAAATGTTTATCACTCGTGTCAATGAAGTGTTTTTTTTTTTCAGTACAGGCTTTACAAAAACCCGCGGGTTCGTCTAGCAATCGCCGAATAAACGATCAATGGTACGATTGTAAAAAATACTTGTCGTTTCTTTAATTAATAGCTACACACACACACACACGCGCGCGCGCAATATTTCGTTTTCTACACACTTAAACTTCATATATCGAATCATTTCGAAAATAGTGCGACAGTAGAGCACGTGTGCCAGCTTTGACCATGGAAATATATCGTCTACGATATACTTCTATGCTTTGACTAAATGAGTGTGTTCAGGTGTTCAGTTGGGCTAGATGGTCTAAATTAATATTATTATAGGGGCCACTTTGCCGACTTTAAGCATTTAATAGAGTCAAGAATATATTTGAATCCAAAGAGGGAAATGCACTGTAGACCGTGCTATTAAAAACTGCTTCCCCAATTTCCGAGGACATTAGAAACTCACTTCTTTTCTGTTACATATCAGGGTGTTATTTAATTACACGTATGGAAGCTCTGAGATATACATGGCCCGCATTCACCATGTACAAATGACTGATGAGAAATCGTTACATTCTTCCTAAAATGTAAATTTTCCTTTAAGTTCTGTAACGTGATTCAAGGGTGATGTAATAGTAACGTATTAATCTTTTTTGGATGAAGTGTCATTTATAAACTTTTCTCCATCTCCAGGGCATCTATAAATGCAATCCTTAAGGTAATACGTGAATTCATTGAAAAGTAATGACATTTCGGCACTTTTTAGTATTACTTGATCAGCAGAAATGCAACTTGCAAACATTAATTTGGATCAGGCTTCTTACCACTACATCCAATGAACATTTAGCGGTTATATCTTGAATTGGTTAAGACTTATGGTCTTAATTTATTGTGATATTTTCTAATTTAAGATAAAAAAGGCAAAACAACCTGGCTTTATCTTGAATAAAGCTTTATTTATTAACATCTATTTTTTTTGCAAGAGTCATTTGCAACTGTCAAATTTGCTTTAAAGGACTTAGGTAAACACCACTACAATGTTTTCTATTGTACTAATGCCATTCTTAAACTTCTAACCAGAAAAAAAAGTTTATATCTGAAAGGGTAGTGCAGTATGCTTCTACACCAATTCAGTGGCATGTAAACTAAAAAACAATAAACAGTTATTTACCTGAATTGCCACCAACATCTATGGTGCTGATGAAACAAGGAGAAATGAGAGCACCATTTAATTTTGAATCAAAATTGACCATTTCGAATCAAAATTTATCTCAAAACCAACAAAACATTTATATTGTGATAAACACTTATTAAAAATCAACAAAAAATACACTAGTATATCAATTCTACAAAAACATACAGAGTCACATGGATGTTTTCTTTACCTCATGAGTTTTAAATGCCACAGAGATAATCTGACAAATGCAAATGAACGTTTTGATGAAATGCATTCAAGCAACTTAAATATAATTTTGGCAGTAGCTTACAAGGTGAACTTTCAGAACTTACTCTCAAGCTCTAGTGCAAGTTGTGCAAAGATTTTCAATATGCTGTGACTAGAATATAAACATCATCAAAAAGAAGACAATGTTTTAAAATAAGCCTTGAGCAATTATTCATCAGCTTCTATTTGATTTTTGTTGTGTTTTTGGGGTTTTTTTTTTCATTCTAATTCACATGGTAATAACTGGCAAGTGAGCTGATGTACCTTAACCTATGCACAGGGCTATCAGCAGAAAAAAAAAAAAGGTTGGCCTTTCTGCAGTGCGAGATTTGAGGTGGTGATAGGAAAGCCAAAGATTTGCGAGCCCCAGATATGGAGATGATTAGCCAGCTGACAGCAGTTTAAGTTGTTTATACCAATATCTTTCATAAGTTAGCACATAAACATAAATATAAGTGCTATTACACATGCATTTTTGTGCTAGCTGCATGCAACTTAAGTGAGCAAAAACATCCTAGACTTTTAAGCCTTTTAGAGCCCACTCAGAACAGTGGACAAACAGATCCGCGGATCAAATATGGCCAACCCATTTGAATGCACGCTGCGTAATCCCCGCAGGAAATCTATTCAGTGTCTTATTGGGAATTAAGCAGCAAACTTTTTGGTGGGTTGCCATATTGGATCACTCCGCTGTTCTGAACGCAGTCTTAAGCAGTTGTGCAATCAGTCATATCTACCTGGAGCAGCACCAGTATCAACATGTGGTCGAACATTATAAAATGGGGATTTCAAACTTGTCAATAAATCAAGAAGTAATGAGAGAAATAAACTGTGAATATAACCACAGGTTTGTAGTTACCCACTGAGTTTGTTTGGTGAAAAGTCTCAGAAAAGGTCATAACAGATTTAGGGTGAATATAATCAATCATTCTCCTCTAAACACTGTAATATCTACTCAACTGGGAACTAAATTTCAAATTTTGGCAAGAAAAATGTTACCGTCAGCATATAAACAACAGTATCACCAAGCTATGTAAGTGGCACTGTAAAAGAAGAATATTGGCTGGCTGGAAATAGATTGTAAATATTTAAAAATTAAAAAAAAATTCAATCAGTTGTCATAACACACAAAAAGAAGAACAAAAAGAAAAGGCAGAGTTGATCAATACTGGCTTACAATGATTAAATATATACTAATAAAATGTTTATGTTTATACTTCTTATAACAAAATTGATTGCTTAACCCTTTCTTAGTCTGCCACTTATCAGGACTATTATAAAAAACGCACCAGACTTTCCAGATAATACATCAAAAACCCTTACTGAACAAAACTGAAGTTCGTGTGAAACAAAAAGGTCACCTGCCATTAGGTGAATATTCAAATCTTGATCGATAGGTTACATGTTCAGATAGACAGTTTTTTTTCTCAATATCCCTGTATCAGTCAAGTCACTGTTCTTTATGTTATATTACACTTCTGTGGCCCCGACTTGGTTGCACCAATGGCATTCACTCATTAATATGAGTAGCTTTGAACTTGAACTAGCTATCCAGATCTAGAACTTTTTAACAGGTTGGGAACACACATGGCTTAGTATATATCATCGAAGCTTCTATGTCTTCATATAAAGTGGAACAGCTGATTTAACTAACCCAGTCCTCCTCAGTGGCTCCACCTAAGCATGGTCAATTGAAATAATAATTGCTAACTTTGATCTCAGATATGACCCTGTTCTACATTGCCAATCCAAAAAATGACCCAGTTCTAATCAGATCTATATCAATGTATATTTCAAGTTAATTTCAGGACTGATTAATCTATAAGGAAAACCAATATGACATTACTATAGCACAGTTTCCCTAGCTGTCACCACAACGTCATTAGTATTGGGACTGTCTTTGTTTGTGGCTCCCCCTTCTTCAACTCCTTCGCCATCTTTTCCCTTCCTGCTCCACTTGGCGCAGAGTATCAGCAGTGGCAAGACCCCCGCCAGGATAATGACGGCACCAAATAGGAAGAAAGAGAAATCGAAGCTTCCAGTTGTGTCTGTAAAATAACCTGAAAATAAAGAAAGAAGTTGAAAGATCTTGTGAAGGCATTGTTATGACACAGACAGTCAGTTATGCATCCTGCTTTGGAGAGTGGGTTAAGAGAGGTTACCATTTGCATACATACTGCATATACGCATAATCTCTCCCCCCCCTTCTTATTACTTTACTTTTCAATTAAAAATCATCCATTCACAGAATTGCATGTAGGTATGCTTCATTTTAAAACTGATATCGATTATAAGATTACTTATGTTGGAAACCATGTCATAGTGTCACATTGTTTCACAGTCATCACCCCACACATAATTGTCCCTCAAATTGGGGTTTTTACTATTGTATGGCATTGCCTCTGGCACATTTAACTTTACTTAACAGCTTTTAAGCCATCCCTGTTAAGATCCCATTCACATTATATACCAGTCCAAAAAAGTTATGCCAGAAATAAGTGGTGCGGAGTTCCACCTGTAATCTTAGGAAAGCAGGGTAATTCTTATTTTACATGACACTCTGTTCTCGGACTCTTTCTACAGGGTGTCCCCGAAAAAATGGACACACTATCTGACTACCTTGACTACTGAAAGTTTACTGTTATGTCACGTTCTTTTGTTGTTCTACAATATAGTCTTTTGTGACCTTAAGGGGGTATGATATGTTATGTTTTTGACAAAATAGCTTTTCCCTCCATTTCTTTTATGTGAAATACTTATCAGAAATTTAGCACAATAAATATAAACACTTTCTGGGTACAAATTCCATTTTCTGTTCCTTTATTCACCACGTTACATGCTTCTGCATGTAGGGTGGACAAAAATCAATCAACAAATTTGCTGCTTTTGTAAATGGGTGTGAGATATAGTAATCAGTTTCCAATGTAACTGTCACTAAGTCAGACATTATCATGAATACTGGCATGGTGCACTAAATATTTTATATTATTCCAAAGCTAAATTACATTGCTGACAGCCATAAAATACAGATTCAGGGAAATGCACAAAGAAACTCATTTACAAAATAATATACACTGGGATTGAACTGCATTTTGCAGATCTTTCTACAAATGGAGGGCAGAGTAAGCCCAGCAGGTAATCAAAATATCTAAGCCATGCAGGTTGAAGTTAATTGAATTCCAGGAAAATATTCCAAGTGACTACCCCCATACAAACCAGAAACTCCAGAATTGGCAAGCAGCAGTCAAGGGGTGACTTACAATTTCTGCTAAAAATAAAATTTAATTTACCATGGAACATGTTGTGACCAGTGCCTCATATGTTTTGTATAGGCTATTAAGGTTATCAGAAAAAAATGACAAAAAACTTTTATTTTGGAATTTTACAAGCAATATTGGATCTAACATAACGGGACATGTATTGGATGCCTGTATCTTTACCATGTGAAAATAGCCATTTTTAAAGTGGGAATCAAATGTATAATTTCTAAAGGATTAAATGTTTTAATGGATATAAGCACAAGTAATCTAAAAATAAATAAGAAAATTTAAGGTACAATAGGTCCCTTTCACAAAATACCATGTTTAATGCAATGTTTTCGTAGCTTTTCACAATATTATGCCTGCAACTACTGCTATAATTACTATGTGACATATGGATAATATACCATAAGAAGCAGCAATTAACAAGTATGTATACATAACTCACATATCACAACACATATACACATTCACATGACATGCACTACTCACCCTGAATTCCTTTAATATACATACTGCCTACTTCTAGATTCTTCTAGTTACACATATACTCTGGCAGGCGTTCTTAACTCGTAGACAGCAATGCCTAGCACTAAACCACTGTGCGCTTCTCAAGTTGTCTGAATATACTGGAGGCACAGCACACAAAACTCATGACTTTTCAACTTCAACACAGCTCTGCTGATTTGAAAATGTAGACGGTGATGTACTACAGCTCTTTGCCTAACCGCACTAAAGAGAGCTCCACTGAGGACTGCCTACACAAAGCTGGTTTGTATTGCTAATATAAAGAAATGCCATTCAACTCTTTGCCTTTCCCTGTAATTACAGCCAGGTTAAAATCATCTCATTGTGATGTTTATCACACTACAGGTAAATGCCTGATGTGTTATCAGCATATAATATTTCACCACTAAACACTAAGGCTCTGTAAAATATAAAAGTACTGGAAGGCTCTATTTTATTCCAGTTATTCTATTCTAATCTGTTGGAGCAAATAATGGCAGTGTGAACCTGGGCTTTTAGCCTATTAGCTCACATATTCAAATGACTAAGTTGAGACAAGTCACTAAGAAACAGGCAAAATATGTATATCCGCTCTTCCAAGATTTATATTCATGTTGTATGGGCCCAGATTTCAATAACTCTTTAATTTTCATTATAAATAACACACTGTTTATTTAAAAAAAAAACTATAAAAAGACAACATCCACATATAAATCTAAAATAAATGTTCTTATCAGTATACATCGGGATTGAAATAAAGATAGAAACTGCTTCTCAAAAGGAAAATATGTTTTACTTTATCACGCAGTTAAAAGCCGGAATGTGTGCTTTCATATCTTATCTAAAACCATTATGACTTAATTCTACTTTGATATTGCCCACATGTAAGAAAATGTGACATTAAGATTTGTAATTTATCAAATTTTTCACCTAGTCTAATAAAGAAAAAATAATGGAAATTGACAGTTTAAAATTGGTAAAATATGCCCACATTCAATGTAATAATTCCACTAATGCCAATAAGATAATCTTATTCTTTTCCTGTTATTTTGAAATATCTTCAAATGCCAAATTTGCCACCGTCTCCAGTAACAGACACATTCCTTGGCCTGTAGCTATTTATGCACCTGAATGCAAGTAAGAAAAGAAAACAAAATAAAAAATGTAACATATTAAGCTGTTCGCCTCATGATAGTTAACACATCTGTTTATATAAGAAACTGAAACCAATCAAATACATTTCCTCAATAAATAAACACCTGATAAAAATACACACACACGCACGCACGCACACATAAACATTAGTATTCATTCCAAATTGCCATTGCATTGCAAAACATCTTTGGATGATTTGAATTGTTGTGTAAAATATTTCAGACCCTAAAACAAAACAAGAGTTAAGTAAATTAAGCTATGTAAATGTCTTTCTGTTTTTTCTGAGCCCAAGATTAGCAGAACAGCTTAGTGAGCCCAGTAGTTATAGACTGCTGCATCGAGGGAGTAAGAGAACAACTTGACATTTAAGCAGCAGGACACAAGTTGGTGAAACATCAATTCAATTATGCCTCAAGTCTAACCTTAGACATGTCCTGCATCTAAATCAGGAAAAAAAAAAAACGACTTTCTCGTATATGAAGATAATTCCTCTTAATCTGGAATTTCAAATGAAAAAAAAATCCTTAAAAATAGGCATATACATGTCAGTTCTCTTCATCAAGAAGCAAAGACCAGCCAGACAGCCAAACAGACAGGTAGACATACAGTAGAAACATTTAAGGTTGTGTACATTTCTGCAGGCACCTGAATGTATTAGGTGTCCAACTGACCAAACCCATTGCAGCTTGGTGTACATAGTATTAAAGATGCGCTAGTTGTGATTAGCTGTCAATTCTACCATAATAACAAAAAATCAAGTTTATCTGTCTATTTCACACGCAAACCAAAAATGATAAGAAGAAAGGAAACCGTTACAGAATGTGTCTTAATAAAAAATGACATTTCTGACCATTAAAGAAAAGGTGGGATGATGTAGAGCTATGGGATCATTTGTATATAATACCAGGCACAGTCACTGGCAAACTTTCAAAAATGTAAACAAAAGCAAAAGCATTATGAAAAGGTTTTTCATGGCCTTTAAATAAGAGGATCTATTCTTGATTTAGAAACTAAAAAACAAGAGTCAGACACTACATTTTGACCACATATGGTGGCAAAAGAAAACAAATCTGAAATATTCATCTCTTTTTGACCCAAATGACACATTAAATAACAACATGCCCTACATGGAGGCATAGAAACAAAATATACCAGCAAATTTGCTTATTTTTTGCTTCTCATTCTACATGCCTAAAAACAAAATAAACATTAAAATAACACTCCCTCACCTGCTATGGGTGGCCCTATTAGGTTAGCCATTCCCTGTCCAAGCATGATCAGGCCATAAGCATTGGTCAGTTTGTCCAGAGTGAGGAGCTCCACAATGACCACTGATTCCAGACAGTAGTTCGCTGACAAAAGGAACCCAAACAGCCCTATCATCACACACATGCCCTCATATGTATTCACTGTGGGAATCAGCATCACGGCAACTCCACAGCCAATCACAGACAAGCCGTATAGGAGAAGAATGTTGATGCATTGGTGGTCACCAAGGTAACCATAAACAAGCTGTCCAACCATGCTGACAATGCCGACCACTGAGATGATGAAGGATGCCTAGAATAATCAATAATATAGTTCTTTATTAACATTTCACTTATTTTTTAAGTAGAAACATTCAAATTAATACTTATATCTTTAAAGCCAATAACTAACTTACTGGGTTAACTGGGTACATAGTTCTATTCATATGGAAGTGTATTTTTTCTCCTCATCTATGACAATAATAACAACCTTGAATGGCCTAAAAGATAATTGAAGAAAAAAGGCATTTATATCAAAATTATCTGGAAGTTAACCACCTACCTTGTTGTTGTCGTATCCCAAATGCAAAGCCCTTTCCACAGAATACATGTATGGAATGTCATAGCCAAGGTACAGGAACACATTTGAGAAGAAAAACAACAAAAAATATGGATTCTTCACCAAACTCACATCTGTCATTTCACGAACAATGTTCCTGACCCCCTTTGACAGCCTGACCAGTTGTAAGAGTCCACAAGTGTCCCATATATCTGTATCTGAAGAGGAACTTGATGACGATGCTGGATGCTTTAGAAAGATATCGGGACAGCTGGTGGCCTTGAATTTGACTTTGTGTACCTGAGGCATATTACCTGGAGTACGTATAAGTGACCCCCGATAAAATGTATCCTTTTTGAAAACCTGAGCACTCTCAGTTACAGGAATACAACTTGGGGCAAGTTTGGGGTTCTTCTTGCCATGATGCTTTTTCCATACACGGTTCTCGGCTGTGTTTTTCTTTTTGTGCTTTTTATAATGACCATGATTTAGGGCATTAACATTATTTTTAGGTAAGCCAGGTCTATCTGCTATCTCAGTCATTTCATCAGTATTTTCAACCATATCTTCTAAGTCAAAATCTACCGCTTCATCTGGCAGTGCACTCAGACTTTTACATTCACGCGGAAGATGTACATCTTTCAACCATGGCAACACCTTGGCATCAACAGCATGGTTTCTGGGATGCTGCAATGGAATAGAAGGTCCATCTTGGTCTGGGGCCTGAGTCACTGTTATTTGCACTGTGGTATTATGATGAATCTGCTTTCCATCATGGATTGTCGTTGACAAACAATCCAATGAGCCTGTCTTGGACATATTCCCTGGTGTTTTGTTTCCATGTTGCACGTTGTGTACAGAAGCTGAAAACTTCTCTAAAGTGTGAAGGTACCTGTACCTCTTTTTTTCTCTCTTGCTGAGTAATGGCCTAAAGAGGGCACCACATATGCACATATTCAACATAATTCCACCAATCAACAGAGATGTTCCCTGCCAACCATATTCGTTGATCAGATATTCCGTGAGAGGAGCAAAAATGAAAGTTCCAATACCACTACCACTAACGGCCAACCCTGTTGCAAATGCTCGCCTGTCTTCAAAATAATTTGCAATTACAACAATTGCAGGTACATATACCATGGATAATCCAATGCCAGATATTACACCATATGTGAAGAATAACACATCCATAGATTCCACAAAGTAGCTCAATATCATGCCGGTTGCCCCCATAATAGCTCCAACTATAGTTGTAATTCTACATCCAAAACGGCTTGTCATGGCTCCCCCTAGTGGTCCACAGAGAAGTGGAATGCCAACATAGAGGGAGCCTATAAGTGATGTCTTGGTGTTGCTCTCTTGGAAGTAGTCCATGAACTCTGCATACAGCACACCAAATGTGAAGGCACTTCCATCAGCTATCAAGTGGATGATGAAAGAAGCAAAGGTTATCACCCATCCCCACCCTCCATCTGGGGGATCCGGTGTGGGGTAAGTCCAAGAGGAGGAGGAAGAAGAAGAAGATGAAGACGATGACGATGAAGAGTGAGTACTATGCACACTTCTATTGCTATCTCGACAACCTCCCTTCTGATTGTGAGCCAAGCTCATGTTGTCTATGATATTAAACAGTTACTGGCAAATAGCTCTGCTGTGTATATGCTAAAAAGGCAGCTGTATAAGTGTAACTTAGTCATTGAACTCCGTAGTCTCAGGATGTTTCTGCAGCTCAGAGTGTGCCAAATCATGCTACGACTTCGATGCATGAAGGAGAACCTACAACATAATGAAGAGGGATATTTAATCAAAGTTCATTATCAACACAGCATGGTTTACATTATTGTTACTTTTAGTTTATAAATTATAAAAGCAAAGGGTATTTGCTGACAAAGTCAACAGCTGGTTTGTGCTACACTGGCTGGGGTAGCGCTAGCAATTTTTTTCGCTTAGCCAAATCACCACATTTTTGTCAATTTGTTACCAAAATGGTTATAATTTGGCTAAAACATGTTAAATCAAGTCGTTTTCCTTTAGCCAATTTAAGTCAGTTTTAGCATTTGGCTAAATTGGCGAGTGTTAGCGCTACCCCAGACTGGTAACATCTCATCTATTATATTTTCAAAGTCATAATATGGACAACTGAGTTATCAGTTTTCTAGACATTATCAACAAAAACACCATCACCATAAAAAAAAAATGAAACTTTGTTGTTGAATCCCATATAGTGCAAGCTATATGCTACCCCTAATACGTGGCACAATATTATCAAGTAGCCTGTTTTTTGTGCAGAGAAAATCCAATCCAATCTTGATTGGCATTTTGCTTATAAGTCTGCTTGTATGTCTGCAAGATAGTGATATGGCTTTATTTTGGCCATATCTCCCTATAAAGCTCACAATTGAAACATTCCTCAAAAGTAACTTGTCCAGATGCTATCCTTTGCCAAGTGACTCAAGAGTGTCTGATAATCTGAAACCCATTGACTTGTGACTCCTGAGACTTTGTCTTGCTAAATTTTAATTCACTCTTAAAATGGTGACTAGTTTCCTAGCTAATACACGTAGTTCTAAACTCACACAAACCCTGACTGAGAGTGACAGAGACCAAAAGAAAAGACTTGGGAGACTTCTAAGATCACTTTGGCAACACTTGGCTACCCAGGTCTATTCCCTGTAACCTTTGGTGAGACTAGGCCCAAACCCCTTCTCTTATAAGCAATCGGAAGGCCCATGTAAACAGAGTTTTAGCAATCACCAACAGGTGGGAGGGTTAGGGGGGGCTTGCTTTGGTATATTGTTAACTTGTGAAAAGCAGTCTGAACCCAGCTGTGCTGTTCTTCTATTATCATAATTAATTAGAAAACACTCAACACAGTTACTGGTATCAATATTAAGCTGTATACTTGAATAAATAATGCAAATGCAAATACTCAATATATATGTATATGCCTACGTATTTACAGCACCTGTATTCAACAGTAAACAGCAATGTGACTGTCACACTGGCATCTATATTAGTAAAACAGCTTGTTGTTCAGATTTCATCCAACTGTACTACAAAAAAAAAAAAAAATACAATCATTCTTCACAATGAGACACTATTTAAACCCACTGCCCTGAATGCTAAAGAGAAACAAACAATACCATTGCTTTCTGTGTGTACGCCATGTGACTCGAATATGGAAGTAAGGCTAAAATGACATGAGTGAACTACATTTTCATGGTTAAGCACTGATGTGAATGTCCTGAAAATGATTATTATATTGCATACACACAAGTAAGAATACTACATGTGCTCTTACTCATACCATAATGTAATTGCCAGGGAGCAAGGGCAAAAAGTTGGCCATTTGAGGTGATAACTGCGATCAATGGAAGCAATTATTCTAATATCAAGATAATTAACAGACCATTAAATTGAAGTATTTTCCATTTACTTTTCAAAATCAGTGGTGTTTCCAGAGGAATAAAGCCACAGCTCTCTATATAATACAAAGGTGCACCAAATATTCAATACAGGTGAGCTTGAGTAGCCTTTTTTAAAGTCTCTGTCTTCAAATTAGTCACATTGTTACAGCCAATTACCAACTATTTCATCATATCAAAGATAAATAAAAATTCAGAAATATAATTGAATTTATTTAACCAAGAAAGTAAAGATCTACCTGGTTTTGACTAATCCCTGTGATAATACTATACAATATCGAAATTAATGATTGCCAGTTAATTTTTGTACTAAATCAATATGTGGGTCTATACTTATTGCATATTTCCTCTAAATAAAAAGGTGCAAAAATAGCTAATCAAGACCCACAGACTGTTAACAAGAACAATTTACCATTTCTCCAACTGAAAGCCAATGCTCTCAGGCATAATTACAATTCTCACATTATCTAACACAAAGTGTGGCATTTTAGGGAGGGGGGCATTGTCCTAGAAATCTCTTTAACATACAATCTAGCTATCATTCTTGTTTTAAAACTAGTGCTCATTCACACAACATGGCTTATCCTTTCTTTTATAGCATAGCAAAATAAGCAAGTAATTAATTAAATAAATATATAAATAAATAGATATCTAAAAAGTCTCTGCAATAACCTCATGATAGCCTGCATCTATTCACAGTGGCAAACTGAAACCAAGTATCTGAGGAGAGTTTTTTATTACTGGAAATAGTTTAGGCAAGTATTTCTCTCTCTCAGGTACCTCAGTCTAAAGTCTAAAGTTTCCAAAAAGAAGATATAACATCATCAGTCATAAAAGAATCGTGTAATAGATTAAAAAAACTTTTTTTTTATGTAAAATATGACTGGATGACTAGTCATGTCTATCACAGTATTATGATCAGTGTTCTCATCTTTCAGGAAGTGACATAATGCAATGACAGCTTGAAAGATGAAGTACTGACTCAGAAGCAATTTTCATATGGTTTAAGCCCTTGCTTAAAATATTTCACTTACCCAGTTACAGAATTTCACTTACCCAGGTATCAAGATGCATAAAATGGACTATTCATGGCTTCTTTCTCTCACTCAATGGATTTTAAACCGATTATAATACCCTAATATATTGATATACATATTCATCTATACTTGCACATGCTGTCTGACATTGTTGTTTGAGTTAAAACTGTGTATACAGCTGAGCTCACAAGGATCAAGCTTGCACATTAATAATCAGAAAGTACTATGAATCATCTGTAAATGCCATTCAAAGTGGGATGTAAGCAATTGCAGCATTGCCTGCATATATATTGTTCTCCAAATGCCTTTAAATTTTATTTGTAAACTGACAATAAAATATCAATAATTTCTTTTTAAAAAAACAAATAATATTTATCATGTGATAAATTTATCCCATGAATGTGGTATGTCAACTTGCTTCAACACTCTCCATGCTCTCTTAAGATGCACTTTGATTTGGACTATTCCTTTACTGATTATTTCATTTAAGTTTAGTGTTTTCCTGTACATTTTCACCATATATTAAAAAAAAAAACAAAAAAAAACAGTAAATGAAACAAATAGTGAACAGCTGATTAATAACCAATCAATATTCTTCCATGCACTGTGCATTGTTTGAGAGAGTACTAGTAGGTAATACCTCAGCAGGCCATTTGTGAATTATATTACAACATAACAATTTGCATGAAAAAAAAAATGAGTTTACTCATTCAATTGGGTGACAAAACCCCATCTGTGTAAGATACATTTAATGACATGAAGACGTTTATTTTGTGCACTTCATTAGAGAATGCCTAAAAGAGTTTCATGATATTTATGGCAACATAGTTGAATTCTTTCTACATATCAAGCAAAACTGTTGAATATGCTGACATGCAATAATATTTCTAATAAATTCTACATATATTGCATACAAACTCATTTTGGACAGAGGACAGAAACAAAATTCTCCTTAAGTGAAGAGATCTGGTTATCAACCAGATTTTTTATGAATGAATACATACATTTCAATATTATCTGTGACAGGTTTTACAGCATCCTTTTATTTGTGCACTTTGACATATGTTAATATGCTCCTAACTTATACCATGACCTAACCTAAATGCGTAAACATTTCACAAGGGGTGCACAGAAGACTTCAAAAGATAAGAGCCACTTGAACTGTGTGCAACTTGCATGTGAACTGTACAAGTAAACGATCAAATACAAACAATAAAAAAGTGTACAGATAAAGTCTCAAAACTTTTTTTGGCATTCATCTGATAGAAAAGCAAAGTAGAAACTGTCCTTTGATCTTTCTTAATCTGACTGCAGTATAAAACTGTGCATACTCCATAACTACTAGTAGTTTAGTTGAAGAAACTTTTTTCTCCAGTACTGACACATTGGTGCCTGTGATCCATAATAACCTCTCTCCACAAAACATAATAAGCTTATTTAGATAAAAAACACTTTTTTCACAATGACTACTGTTCTTGTCCTACCCTTACAAGTAGCTTTCTATTTAATGCCATGTAAGCAGACAGGTCACCAGCAACAGGCCATTTCCAAACTGATATACAGAGCCATCAATTTTTCCTCCTTCTAACTGTGTTGCCTTTATGCTCTGCATCTCATATCAATCTGCTTGTACACAATTACTGATTCTGATCAGAAATTCTGCACTGCCTGATGAACCTCAATATGAATTTTTATGACACAGTGATTTATTCAGGGAGCAGTCTCTGTGTGGGAAGAGTCATCTAAAACAAAGTGCAGATTGAGGTGTGAAAGACAAAAGAAAAGTATTCTGTTTTAATTTCACTATTGGGCAAGCTTTATTGAAGTCTTTCACTCAATTGTATTTTACCACAGCAGGATTAGGATCAAAAATAATGGCAGACTAGTAGGCGTGGTGCATTAACACATAAAAGCTGACAGAATTTATCCACAGATATTTTTTTCTCGCTGTTTTCTCTCCAATTTTAATTTACTGTGCAGCAGTCATTTTTTATTTTCTTTCTAATAACAGCATTCCTCATGCATAGTTTCACCCTGCAAAAATTTTTATTCCAGTATGACATCACACAGCGTCGAAATCATCTCAGATGTTGCTCATTATGATATCTTTGAGGCTTGACTTTTTAATAATGAAGAATACACCAAAAGTATTGAAACAATTTAAAGTGTTGTATAATCTGTATTTATAATTAAACTAATCAATTAATTTATTTATTTAATCAGATGGTTCTCAGTATGAAATGTAGATGCCTAGCAATGCAAAGAGAAAAGCCAACTGAATAATAGATAACGGTCAAAATACAATATTTAAATGTTTTTTTTTTTAGGTTGGTTTGTGTCCTGCCATAAGCTTAGGGTACTGTACCCCCAGCACACAAAATGACAAATGCAAAAACATGTTTGCACATGACAAAAAGACAATGACAACTTGCTGATTTGTAAGCTAATGGTGTACCTCTAATTCATAACCACAATTCATTATACAGATACTAGTTCCACTTAGGTCAGACCTATACCATAATAATCCAGAACTGATGATGTTCAAATAAATGAATATGTGGTATCATTGGTTGTTTACATTCTACAAGCTGGATGAAAAAACAGGAACTTCCAGGGTCGGCCCATTAGCCGGGGTTGTCCCATAATGGGGGCGGGTCTGATGGCATAAAGACCAATAATATCAATTAAGGGATTGACACTTGAATATATATGCACACTGTGAGTCTACTAGTACTTTTATCATGCCACATGCAAGTACACTTTTGTCGCTGTCAAAATTGCCACAAATTTATATTTCACTAAAACATAATTTCTGTCAATCCAGAGCCATAATTTTACGGTGACAGCTGTGAAGTCATGCAGTCGTAGGAATTAAGACTGCCTGACGTGTTCCATATACTCAGCTCTAGCACTAGCAGCACCTTACAAAACTACATGCTTTACCCGCCACTGATAATACTGAATGGGTCTTACTTTGTACCTGTATTCATCATGCCACATAAGAAGGATAAGTCAACAGTGACAGTGGGTGCCAAAGAAGAGATGCGGGCTTCATCACGAAATCATGTAATTTGTAAACAATTTCGAGTCGTTTGTTTTGTTAGTCGGGCAATGCAAATTGTCAAAAATAGTCATTAATTTGTATTTTTTAAATAAACTTCTCTATGAATGTCTTAAAGGTAGGACAATCTCCCTTTAAACTTACCACATAATTTCACCTTAGAACCGCAATATTCAGAGATCAATGCATCTTCTGCTTCTGTGCTTCCTGCTGCAGATACAGCTGCAATAAAAAAGGTGCCTCGTTTTGAAATTAGGTTAGCTTTATGACGTAGCAGGAAGGGATTTCCTCAAACATGGAAACGGCGCCGGCAGAACCGACAGATATTTCAGAAGAATTAAGAAGTGAATGGGAGGGGTAAGAATTACACCGGGAATTTGGGATTGTACCATATACAATATAAGAACTTTATGGAATCATTGGGCAGTATAAATAGATTCATTTTAAAAGAAAACATTAAAATCTTTAAAGAAAAAAAAAAAAAAAAAAAAAACACAGATTCTTACAGTCGGTTACGGGATTATCTAACCCAGAACGAGGCTCGATTTTAGGACTAGGGTAAAACATTGGCTTGCGCCCATTACTCTCAATGTTAAATTGGCGAAATTTGATCGTTCATATCAAACAGACCAGAGGACAATTTCTTGTGACAACCACTTGGTCATATTCACTTGGGTTTTTAGCGTCAGTCAATGGGCCTCAGGAGGATTTTCTAGACCTTTAGGTGATTTTATCAGCGATAATACCAACACTCCTCCGACGGGCTGCAATTTCAGTTTGCATCAGATACATGTTGTAATAGGCATATTTTATCGGCTGTATCGAGTATATAAGTGAACAAATACGTGTGGCAACTGTTTGTATATATACACTTATGTATTTAGCTCAGGGAAATGGCCACCAAAGGGATTTTCTAGCGTCAGTGGCGACTTTATCAACGATGGTGTTTTTAGAGCAATTTTTCCTACTGGTACTGCCTACTATGAATAATAGGCCTACATACCAGTTCATTAATATACAGTCGGAATTATTGTATAATAAAATCATAATCTAAACAAAGAAAACCATTATATTCATACTGCTTTTAGAGGTCTCAATTTGAAAGATTTGATAAGCTAGAAAAGGGGGTTGAGTAGCATTGCTCACCTGTCGNCTTTAACATACAATCTAGCTATCATTCTTGTATTAAAACTACTGCTCATTCACATCACATGACTTATCCTTTCTTTTATAGCATAGCAAAATAAGCAAGTAATTAATTAAATAAATATATAAATAAAAAGATATCTAAAAAGTCTCTGCAATAACCTCATGATAGCCTGCATCTATTCACAGTGGCAAACTGAAACCAAGTATCTGAGGAGAGTTTTTTTATTACTGGAAATAGTTTAGGCAAGTATTTCTCTCTCTCAGGTACCTCAGTCTAAAGTCTAGAGTTTCCGAAAAGAAGATATAACATCATCAGTCATAAAAGAATCTTGTAATAGATTAAAAAAACTTTTTTTTTATGTAAAATATGACTGGATGACTAGTCATGTCTATCACAGTATTATGATCAGTGTTCTCATCTTTCAGGAAGTGACATAATTCGATGACAGCTTGAAAGATGAAGTATTGACTCAGAAGCAATTTTCATATGGTTTAAGCCCTTGCTTAAAATATTTCACTTACCCAGTTACAGAATTTCACTTACCCAGGTATCAAGATGCATAAAATGGACTATTCATGGCTTCTTTCTCTCACTCAATGGGTTTTAAACCGATTATAATACCCTAATATAATGATATACATATTCATCTATACTTGCACATGCTGTCTGACATTGTTGTTTGAGTTAAAACTGTGTATACAGCTGAGCTCACAAGGATCAAGCTTGCACATTAATAATCAGAAAGTACTATGAATCATCTGTAAATGCCATTCAAAGTGGGATGTAAGCAATTGCAGCATTGTCTGCATATATATATTGTTTTCCAAATGCCCTTAAAACTTATTTGTAAACTGACAATGAAATATCAATAATTTAAAAAAAAACAACAACAAATAATAATTATCATGTGATAAATCTATCCCATGAATGTGGCATGTCAACTTGCTTCAACACTCTCCATGCTCTCTATAGATGCACTTTGATTTGGACTATTCCGTTACTGATTATTTCATTTAAGTTTAGTGTTTTCCAGTACATTTTCACCGTATATTAAAAAAAAAAAAAAAAAACAGTAAATGAAACAAATTGTGAACAGCTGATAAATAACCAATCAATATTCTTTCATGCATTGTGCATTGTTTGAGAGAGTACTAGTAGGCAAGCCAAATTGTGTACCTCAGCAGGCCATTTGTCAATTATATTACAACATAACAATTTGCAGGAAAAAAAATGAGTTTACTCATTCAATTGGGTGACAAAATCCCATCTGTGTAAGATATATTTAATGACATGAAGACCTTTATTTTGCATACTTCATCAGAGAATCCCTAAAAGAGGTTCACGATATTTATGGTAACATAGTTGAATTCTTTCTACATATCAAGCAAAAATGTTGAATATGCTGACATGCAATAATATTTCTAATAAATTCTACATATATTGATTGCATACAAACTCATTTGGAAAGAGGACTGGACAGAAACAAAATTCTCCTCAAGTGACGAGATCTGGTTATCAGCAGATTTTTTATGAATGAATACATACATTTCAATAATTATCTGTGACAGGTTTTACAGCATCCTTTTATTTGTGCACCTTGACATATGTTAATATGCTCCTAACTTATACCATGACCTAACCTAAATGTGTAAACATTTCACAAGGGGTGCACAGAAGACTTCAAAAGATAAGAGCCACTTGAACTGTGTGCAACTTGCATGTGAACTGTACAAGGAAACGATCAAATACAAACAATAAAAAAGTGTACAGATAAAGTCTCAAAACTTTTTTTGGCATTCATCTGATAGAAAAGCAAAGTAGAAACTGTCCTTTGATCTTTCTTTATCTGACTGCAGTATAAAACTGTGCATACTCCATAACTACTAGTAGTTTAGTTGAAGATACTTTTTTCCTCCAGTGCCGACACATTGGTGCCTGTGATCCATAATAACCTCTCTCCACAAAACATAATAAGCTTATTTAGATAAAAAACACTTTTTTCACAGTGACTACTGTTCTTGTCCTACCCTTACAAGTAGCTTTCTATTTGATGCCATGTAAGCAGACAGGTCACCAGCAACAGGCCATTTCCATGCTGATATACAGAGCCATCAATTTTTCCTCCTTCTAACTGCGTTGCCTTTATGCTCTGCATCTCATATCAATCTGCTTGTACACAATTACTGATTCTGATCAGAAATTCTGTACTGCCTGATGAACCTCAATATAAATTTTTATGACACAGTGATTTATTCAGGGAGCAGACTTTGTGTGGGAAGAGTCATCTAAAACAAAGTGCAGATTGAGGTGTGAAAGACAAAAGAAAAGTATTCTGTTTTAATTTCACTATTGGGCAAGCTTTATTGAAGTCTTTCACTCAATTGTATTTTACCACAGCAGGATTAGGATCAAAAATAAAGGCAGACTAGTGGACGTGGTGCATTAACACATAAAAATTGACAGAATTTATCCACAGATATTTTTTTCTCACCGTTTTCTCTCCAATTTTAATTTACTGTACAGCAAAACAATTTCACCCTACTTTGTCATTTTTTATTTTCTTTCTAATAACAGCATTCCTCATGCATAGTTTCACCCTGCAAAAATTTTTATTCCAGTATGACATCACACAGCGTCGAAATCATCTCAGATGTTGCTCACTATGATATCTTTGAGGCTTGACTTTTTAATAATGAAGAATACACCAAAAGTATTGAAACAATTTAAAGTGTTGTATAATCTGTATTTATAATTAAATTAATCAATTAATTTATTTATTTAATCAGATGGTTCTCAGTGTGAAATGTAGATGCCTAGCAATGCAAAGAGAAAAACCAACTGAATAATAAATAACAGTCAAAATACAATATTTAAAATTGTTTTTTTTTTTAGGTTGGTTTGTGTCCTGCCATAAGCTTAAGGTACTGTACCCCCAGCACACAAAATGACAAATGCAAAAACACGTTTGCACATGGCAAAAAGACAATGACAACTTGCTGATTTGTAAGCTAATGGTGTACCTCTAATTCATAACCACAATTCATTATACAGATACTAGTTCCACTTAGGTCAGACCTATACTATAATAATCCAGAACTGATGATGTTCAAATAAATAAATATGTGGTATCAGTGGTTGTTTACATTCTACAAGCTGGATGAAAAAACAGGAACTTCCAGGATCGGCCCATTAGCCGGGGTTGTCCGATAATGGGGACGGGTCTAATGGCATAAATACCAATAATATCAATTAAGGGATTGACACTTGAATATATATGCACACTGTGAGTCTACTTTTATCATGCCACATGCAAGTACACTATTGCCGCTGTCAAAATTGCCACAAATTTATATTTCACTAAAACATAATTTCTGCCAATCCAGAGCCATAATTTTACGGTGACAGCTATGAAGTCATGCAGTCGTAGAAATAAAGACTACCTGACGTGTTCCATATACTCAGCTCTAGCACTAGCAGCACCTTACAAAACTACATGCTTTACCCGCCATTGATAATACTGAATGGGTCTTACTTTGTACCTGTATTCATCATGCCACATAAGAATGATAAGTCAACAGTGGCAGTGGGTGCCAAAGAAGAGATGCGGGCTTCATCACGAAATCATGTAATTTGTAAACAATTTCGAGTCGTTTGTTTTGTTAGTCGGGCAATGCAAATTGTCAAAAATAGTCATTAATTTGTATATTTTAAATAAACTTCTCTATGAATGTCTTAAATGTACGACAATCTCCCTTTAAACTTACCACATAATTTCACCTTTGAAGCGCAATATTCAGATATCAATGCATCTTCTGCTTCTGTGCTTCCTGCTGCAGATACAGCAGCAATAAAAAAGGTGCCTCGTTTTGAAATTAGGTTAGCTTTATGACGTAGCAGGAAGGGATTTCCTCAAACATGGAAACGGCGCCGGCAGAACCGACAGATATTTCAGATGAATTAAGAAGTGAATGGGAGGGGTAAGAATTACACCGGGAATTTGGGATTGTACCATATACAATATAAGAACTTTATGGAATCATTGGGCAGTATAAATAGATTCATTTTAAAAGAAAACATTAAAATCTTTAAAGAAAAAAAACACAGATGATACATGTAGATCTACTGTAGTCTTACAGGATTTCACAATTTTGACCACGATTTGCCTCATTTTTCGGCTTACGTGACTTTTGAAATCAACGCTGGTTTTCTGTTATGCACCTACTCCGATAAAGGATTCTAGTCGCTTTTTCATCTGTTCATTTATTTATTATCATTGTTTAATTTAATTAATTAATTTTATTTATTTATTTATTTATTTATTTATTTATTTATTTTGTCGATAAAATCTGAATGTGTCCCCTTTTTCACAGCTACCAATAATTAAAAATTTATACGCTTGATCAAAAAAGTTCGGAAACATCGTTATTATGAATGATTATTAAATAACCATACAGTAAAATAAAGATCTTTATTTTAGGCAGCATCAGTATCATATTGCTCAGCAGTGTCACATGTGAAGCCTCCACTGTTTATTGTCAAGACCTGCTCAAACTTTGTCACTCCATTTGCATGATTTGTGAAAATTAAATTTGATCCCACATTCATAAATGTTGCTGTTATTCCCACAGAATTCCTTACCCTGCAAAAATTTCAAAAAGTAACAAATGGTGGGTGCATTATCCATCAATATTTGGTGAAAATATTTACCTTAGCTCATAAAGGTATTTTATAATTATTCAAAATAACAATGTTTTGGTAAGTGTAGATGCTCTGGTGACTAAGAAAACTACAAAAAGAAAAAAATTATTTCAAAAGTGCTATTTTATTAATTGATTATTTATGTGGCAAATGTAATTCTAAACCTTATTAATTCTTCGTTTTATACTTATTTTTAGGGAACAAGATAAGCTGAAGACCAAGCTGGTCCTAGAGAACTGTGAACCATGGCAGAGTAAACTAGAGGAAGGTCTGCAGTATGTTGGGGGTGTAGACCTGTCATTTGTGAAAGGAGATGATGTAAATGCATGCTCCTCTCTTGTGGTGACATCTTATCCAGATTTAAAGGTATGCTTCTATGTAAAATATCATTAACATACTGACATTCGGGCATGTTGTCTGAAAAATGCCTTTGTCAAATTTTAGAACAAACTTATACCTTTGGTTTTGTAGTTTATCTGTTAGAAAAATGTTATGTACATTTTTGGTATAAGGCATTTAAAGTTATTATTAACTCTTTATTAGTACCACCAGCGTGTACACTGGCGGTACTCATGGTTTTAGTCCCGACCCATCTCGTACAGCTCCGCCGGCTCCTGCGGCTCCGCCGGCTCATGCAGCTCCTGCGGCTCCGCAGGATGGCATGGGATACAAGTCACCGTTACCGCTTCTCCTCCTAGACCGCAAGGACCTATGTCCCCATCTCTTGGATTTTGGTCACATATAATCTCAACTTGAACCCCCTGGTTTTTTGTCTCAGTCGGTGCATTGGCCTGGGTGTAGCGCTCGTTGTAACGCACCCTTGTCAAAATTTTTGAAAATTCAACGCTAAATATCTCCCATACCAAAGGAATTATGTGAAAAATTTCTACAGATGGCTGACCGAAAGACATATGTGGAGATTTCAAATATGCCCTTGGATTTGAACTTTGATCTTTATTTCAAGGTCAAACGGGCCAAAATTTTCTAAAAATGGGAATTTTTTGCAAAAAAATTATTATTTTATGCCGATTTTCAGAAACTTCACAGATCTAACTTATAATATTATGGACGGGTGTTACCCTTAGGGTCTTCTTTCATCTTCGTGAGTTTGGGGTCAATCTGTGCATTTTCAGGGGAGTAGCGGCCAATAGATGCCAAAACTGAAAACTCTCTCAAATTCTGGAACTGTTAATGCCAGAGACCTCTTGTTTTTTTCATTTTGTAGAGCTTGTCAAGCGCAACACTGAAGGTGGTGTCCGTTTTTTGTTTTCGATACAGCTTAGGCATTGTACTATATCGACAGTTCAACATCCAATATTTAGTGGTGAAAATAAAATGTGACATACTACAAAATTAGCAGAGATACGCCCATAGTTACTATTGAACTTGAATAGGAAGTCATATACTTGTAATCTAACTGTGACCTTGAAATTGACCTTTGACCTACTTTTCATAATGAACTGCACTTTGCAAGTTTTCTGATTTTTATATCTCCAAAACTGGCAAAGATATGCCCATAGTTACTGTTGAACTTGAATAGGAAGTCATATACTGGCAATCTAACTGTGATCCTGNTGTCTGCCTGTCGTGTTCAAAGCAGGTGTCTCAAGTAATGCAATAAATGTGCTTTCAAAAAGAATTTTAATTTGTCACTGCTGTGTTTTTCATTAAAATTTCTTTTTCTACTATTGTCTGGATTATGTTTGAAGAGACTATGAAATACTTTTTCAGCTTTTATAATTTCTGTAAAAACAAAAAAAATTCATTAGGGGCCTGCCAAAATTATTTTTCATAAATAAATTGATTCATCCATAATTATCCAATTAAACAAAAAGCTTTAACCAAGTTCATTCAGCTTTAATGCTACTGGAAGGGGAGGAATGATCACCAATAGCTTACAAGTTTTTATCCTTTGTTTTCATAATTGGAAATAATTTGAAAGACAGCAATAATGCTCTTTAAATATTCTGTTTTTCTTTATTTTTGAATGAAAGCCTCATTTAAATCTTTATAAGTTGTCAAAATCTGCAAATCATTTTTGACACTGATGCTAAATGAAGTTCATGGTGTCTTTTTTCAGAAAAAAAATTTATAAGGTAGTGATTTCATTTTCATTATTATACCATCAGACTCAATATCACAATACAAAGTATGATCTATAAAAATCCGAATTGAATGCATATTTAAATGCCATAAATCACTGAATTCTTAAACAAAATGAAAAATTAAAGATACAGTAAAACTTGTTGACTTTAAATTTACATTCATTTCTATCTATAAGGTATGTAAGAAAGGAGTTTATAAAATTCCTTGACATATGCTGTAAAGTGACATTCTGAATTAACATTTGTACAGTAAAAATGAATTAGAATTTCTATGATATAAGACCTTTAAGAAAATATATCAGTAATGTCCAAAGGATAAAAACACTGAATCCATAACAAAAATTTGATTGCTGAGTGTTTTTTCTAATTGCATGGGTTAATAGATTTTACTCAGCAAACAGCTCCACCCGCTTGTTTCTTCTAGTTCATATACCAGAGAATGTGCACTGATAGCCTTTCTTCGTTCTATCCTCTTGATGAAAGTGTGCAACATCACAAAGAAAAATTATTAGTTATCTGTTTCAATAGCACATTATTGCCATTTACCCACTTCATAGTAAAATAATTAAAAGATTTATTGAGTATGTAAAAATTTTATTCCTGCCTATGATCTCAATTCTGTCTGCAGCAACATGGGTATTAAAAATTTACTAGAAAAAATTGTTCAAATTCTCAAAATGGCATGTACTTTCAGTAATAAAATCAGACTAGTAAATTGTCATTAGAGCCACCACACCTGCGTGAAGATCATATCTGTTTTAGTTCTATTTGCTACAATGACACCAACTGATAAGATCACTTTCTTCCAATTAAACCACCTCTAAGGGCTCTATGATTGTTTGAGCATCCAGGTAAGTTCTGTTCAATCGCTGTCAGTGGACAGATTCATCTGATAACAAAGCCATTGGAACTTCTTACCTGAAAAACAATCAGAACTGTTACTGTTGCTCATATAATTACAGTGTAAGAGAGGTGCATTTCAATCGCTGATAAAATCGGCATCAATGCTAGAAAAGGTCCTTAACGGCCCTTTCCTGGCACTAAATACCTATGTTGATATAATTAAACAGTTGTCAAGTTTAATTATCTACCGATGTGAGAGATACAGACGATCAAAGTTGATCATTTTAACATGGGGAGTAATGGAGCTTACAGATTGTTTTACCCTAGTCGGCCATCTTGTGACGTCATGCCGACTGTAAGAATGATACATGTACTGTAGTCTTACAGGATTTCACCATTTTGACCACGATTTGCCTCATTTTTCGGCTTACGTGACTTTTGAAATCAACGCTGGTTTTCTGTTATGCACCTACTCCGATAAAGGATTCTAGTCGCTTTTTCATCTGTTCATTTATTTATTATCATTGTTTAATTTAATTAATTAATTTTATTTATTTATTTATTTATTTTGTCGATAAAATCTGAATGTGTCCCCTTTTTCACAGCTACCAATAATTAAAAATTTATACACTTGATCAAAAAAGTTCGGAAACATCGTTATTATGAATGATTATAAAATAACCATACAGTAAAATAAAGATCTTTATTTTAGGCAGCATCAGTATCATATTGCTCAGCATCAGTATCACATGTGAAGCCTCCACTGTTTATTGTCAAGACCTGCTCAAACTTTGTCACTCCATTTGCATGATTTGTGAAAATTAAATTTGATCCCACATTCATAAATGTCGCTGTTATTCCCACAGAATTCCTTACCCTGCAAAAATTTCAAAAAGTAACAAATGGTGGGTGCATTATCTGTCAATATTTGGTGAAAATATTTACCTTAGCTCATAAAGGTTTTTTTTATAATTATTCAAAATAACAATGTTTTGAACTTTTTGGTAAATGTAGATGCTCTGGTGACTAAGAAAACTACAAAAAAAAAAAAAAAAAAAAAAAAAAATTATCTCAAAAGTGCTATTTTATTAATTGATTATTTATGTGGCAAATGTAATTCTAAACCTTATTAACTCTTTGTTTTATACTTAATTTTAGGGAACAAGATAAACTGAAGACCAAGCTGGTCCTAGAGAACTGTGAACCATGGCAAAGTAAACTAGAGGAAGGTCTGCAGTATGTTGGCGGTGTAGACCTGTCATTTGTGAAAGGAGATGATGTAAATGCATGTTCCTCTCTTGTGGTGACATCTTATCCAGATTTAAAGGTACGCTCATGTAAAATATCATTAACATACTGACATTCTGGCATGTTGTCTGAAAAATGCCTTTGTCAAATTTTAGAACAAACGTATACCTTTGGTTTTGTAGTTTATCTGTTAGAAAAATGTTATGTACATTTTTGGTATAAGGCATTTAAAGTTATTATTAACTCTTTATTTGCTACTGAAATTGTGCTTAGTCTATTAGTCATATATGCACAATTTGTTGTGCTGTAGCTTTCCTTTTTTTTTCAAATTAAAACAATTCTGACCTTCACTGGTAATATTTGTCCATTATTATTAGGTTGTATATGAAGATTGTTGTCACATACAGCTGACAGCACCCTACATTCCTGGTTTCCTAGCTTTCCGTGAGGTGCCTTTCCTAGTGGAAAGCTTTGAGAGACTTAAGAAGAAAAATCCGGAACTTATGCCTCAGGTAAACTTAGATATATTTATCATAAATCAGATTAATTTGAGGGATTGAACTTTTATCTTGGGGATTTACTAAGTTTGATTTCATCTTCCATTTCAGCCAACCTTGACATGTTTTGCTGATAATCTCATCCTTCTTCTCATTATAATAAATTTCATCTTTTTATACCTACAAAATTACCTTTAATTGCATATGTTTTACAGTACGCGCCTTGAGGTTTAATTTGGTAAACTTAATTTATAAAGAGACAGCTAGGAAGAGGCACAATGAAAATTAAAAAATGTTAAGGCAATAAAAGCTTATGTAATATTCTCCTACCAGCCCTGTTTTTAAAACACTGTTTACCTCCTACGTTTTTTATATAAATTATAACATAGTTGGTAACTAGTATACTATTTTCATATACATCATAGATTGTTTGTAAGGTAGATATCTCAAAAAGTTTTTCACAAATTTTGGTGAAATTTCAGGTTAGTCAGTTCATCAAATGGACAAAAATTGATAACAATTTCAAATGAATACGGTCCTATTTATATTTTAAAAGAATTTAATTTATTTCATTATTATTAGCATTTTGCTTTGCCAGTGGTTTGTACTCTAGGGGTGCTCTTTTGCTATATACATGTAAATGTATAGCCAGTCTCTACAAATTGGATTGATTTGTCATAAAGGTTTAAATTTTAGTACAAAGCTATGCTGTAACAGTAGTAAAATTGTGTACACATGTGATTGTGACATCATAAGCAGAGTAAATTAAACTTTTGTGACATCATAGACAAGTAGTCATGTGATTGTGACATCACAGGTAGATACTCTATAGCATGCATAGTTAAAAAAAAAGAATTATTTGTACATGTAGATCTTTTAAAGAGATCTTGAAAAAAAATACCTCTACTGTTTAGATTTAGTTTTTTATTTGATAATAATAACAATATATAATTATATTTATTTCTTAAACAGAAAATACCATTATATTTTAACACATATTACAACACATTTTTAATTTATGGACTTCACAGATTTAGTGTATTAAATGTTTGAAAAATTACAGTACTAAAATGATAGACACTTTGTTTAAAATTTAAAGACTTGAATCATATAACAATTTAAAAGATGCACTTTCAGAGAGACTTTAAAACTGTCATTTAATTTTTACTTTCAGCTCTAACAGAAAAGTAGATTGGTCAATAATTTTGACATAAATATTGACATTATAATTATAAATTATATCAAAATTGATATAAAAAGAGCCTCGGTTTTCCTACACCGTTCAAACAGCTATGTAACTTGGTGTACTTTCTTTAAATCCTTTAAGAACAATACACTTGCAAGGCTTTAAATTATTTTATTGTTAGATTAGCAGTCAATGTATCGCCTTTAAGACTGGAGTAATATGTTCCACTATTTATATTACAGGTTGTTTTAGTTGATGGTAATGGCATCCTTCATCCAAAAGGTAAGGTTTAATGTCTGCTAATGAGTTGTTTCCTTTTCACTGGCTCACCAGGTAAATACGGTTTTAACTGGCATATAATACTACTCTTTGCAACCCCACAAATTGAAATATGTGCACTATTTCTTTGGAAATTTTATTTTAAATGTAGATATTTCAGGCGCACACATTAATGTTAAATGCCATTTGTCAACACTATTCAGTGTTTATTATTAGTCTGCTTCATTTCTCTTAGTTTTGGGACTTTCAATAAATGCGTCCGTCACCGGCCAAATTTCAAACATCATACTTGAGTTTGTCACATCACTTTATCAGCATGTTGTTATATTCAAATTAGCTTAGATCAAGGAGACATAAATAATACTATTGTACTAAGCATCACAGATGGGTGTGTTACTTGCAATTTTCTTATTTTAATCCATCTGATTTCTTTTAAATTTTTGACCAAATACATGATATAACATTATCATTTTTGCAGATTAATTGAATAGTTTAAACCACTGACTTTTTCATTAAAAAAGAATTGTAAAGAATACAGGTAAGCTCAAGATCAGTGCTTGAAAAATTGATTTTATATGCATATATGCCATAGATTTTGTATCCAGCCCCATGAAGTGTTTGTTAAGTCCTGTTTTCTATGCCATGTTAGTCATGTCCACTTCAGACAAGATCAAATATGGATAAATATTTTGAATTTATTTCATTGTAGAGTTTGGACTTGCTTGTCACCTGGGTATCATATTGGACATACCCACAGTGGGTGTGGCCAAGAAACTCTTTCAGGTGGATGGCCTGGAAAAGAATGCAGAACATGCTGACAAGGTATAATAATGTCATAGCCATCTCATTAATTAAACAAGCTCCATCCCCTCTGTCACAGTTCTATTTCAAGTTTCAGTAACATTATTATAAAAAGATGAAAATAACCCTACTATCAAAATCAGACATCCTGAAAGTGTGAATTTGGGTAAGTGCATTAATACGTTTCTTGTAAGAAGGAAAATTTTGTAAACATTTTACAAGATCTAGAAATTAGTTATTTGAATATACATTATGCCAACAGACAGTCATTAATACATAGGCTGCAGCTTTCATGTGCATATTTACTAAATTTTTAAATGTATAGTATATATTTTTCATTACAGCTTTTTTGTTTGTTTGTTTGTTTGATTGTGGTATTTTTATTTGTTTTGTCAAAATATTTCTATAAATCATGTTTTAAGGTGAAGCAACTGGCAAAAGGAGGTGATACATTCCCACTCATTGGTGCTTCTGGCAGGATTTTAGGAAAGGTACATTTTAGTTGATAATTATTCGCTCTCATTTGTTATAATACACACTTTATATATGATATGACACTACTTAGAAACAATGTCACTTAAAAATGATAAATTAGTTTATTTATTTATTTATTTATTATATACTGCACTGTCTTCAATGTGGCAGGCTCTTCGAAGTTCTGACAACACAGAAAACCCTGTATATGTCTCAATTGGTCACAAAATTTCTCTGGAAACTGCGGTATGTCTTGTTCATCAGTGCTGCAAGTATAGGATACCTGAACCAATAAGACAGGTAATCTATTAAAAAAGATAAATTAAAATCCAAAAATACCTAGATGTGTGCAGTCTTCTGTTGCTCTCTAGCTCATAGTGTGCCTAACGATTTTCCTCAGATATTAGTGTTTTGTTAAATATGTAGTTCTTAAAGTCACATTTAAAGAGAGTGTCAATTCCCAGTAATGCATATTAACCACTTCTAGTGGACATGCCAAGGGATAACTGAATTAATCACTTGAACAGCATTGTAAACATAATATTTTATTATATTATATTATATTAATGAAACCTTATTTTGTGTTATTCTGCTTTTAGGCAGACATCAAATCTAGAGAATACTTGCGTCGGCTGTTTCCAGAACAAAATAGCCAAGATGAAAAAACATAAGAGATAGCTTGGACGGTAACGAGTTACATCGCGAAAGCCAGTAGGCGACCGCTGAAGGGAGGTGGAGACCTAGAGCAACGGCTTGGCTGACCATCGAAATCAATTGGAAATCACCTTACATCCCCAGGGCCGTCAGGACGATATTCTGTGATCTGTTGTGGAGCTGGGCCTAAATTTGTTCTCCAAGCGATCGCAAGTCCGGCGTTAATGCTGTAAATGGGGTCCTGACCGAGAAGTGCTACATCAATTTACCGAATTAGTGTAGAAAGACACAGCTACAAAAAATCATTACAGACACCTGTGTCGACTGATATCGCCTGCGAGTTACTCAAAGTGTTATCAGTAAAGGAAAAAGAAGGCAAAGCAACTCACTGGTTTATCAGAAAGATCATTAAACTAGTAGAATTACTTGGATATATTTCTTTACGAACTTCGATAAAGTCCGTTACGATATGTATAACGGTAGATACGAAATTAAATGATGCTATTATTCCTAGATGATGTTGCAACAAAGCAAAGTCAGACTGAACTTAAAACGTATATGCAAGTTTACAACGGCATGAAAAAGAGAAAAATACTCTCTTGTGCACTCATTTCAAATATATGTATGTATAAAACGTTTTGTCTACATAACGGACAACTGAAAGGAATGCACGTAACATACATATACCGCATAGCACAACACCGATGGCCAACGTACTTCGGGAAAGTCAGTATACAGACGTTGGGAGGAATTTGATAGAAAGGAGGCGTTTGCCATTGGCCCAACATGGGGGGCGACCTCGACCGTGCCGGCAATATTGCCATACTGTGTGAAACGACGATGCGGTCACTAATTGCTCGACTGCTTGCTATGTCTGGGGAGGATCGAGCTTGCATGACCACACCTCCCCTGGCAAATTGTAACTTTCGCATTATATAAAAGACGTGCTTGTTTCATTTTAACTACGTCATTTCTATTGATGAGATTTTGAAGTGATCTTGGTAGGATTTCTAGGAAAGAGAAGCTGTTGTTCATCACGTTCGCCAGGTGCAATAACATGTACTTGTAAATAACAGACAGAAGACAATTTTTAAAAAGTTTCATAGCCTGGTTTGACTGATTTTAAACTTTACCTTGTTCTATATATTTATTGTCTAATATGTTATCTGTTTCTTTATTTTATTTCTTTTGTTCTAATTTTTAAAATTTTTATAAAACTTCTTTACGTCATATATAACCATGACTGAATCATTACAAAATATATCGGCAAGCGATATAGAAATTAAAATTATATGGCACGGTATGTACGTTACCGGAACATACGTTACAATTTAGGCTCCTTACATAATACATAGGTAAAAAATTAATGTAGATGTAAAATCGAGACAACCTGTGCAGGCTGCCTGTAGCTGGTAGAGGCGGTCAACCCGGTCTATACATACACGTGTATGTTCTAAAAAATTAAATATAACTTCGAATTCATTCAATTGTATTTTTGATACTTCGAGCATGTGAAGTGCACTTCTATACTTGTATAGGTGTAGATTAGAGGATTAGAGAACTTTGGGACTGTCAGCACGTACCCGAGATAACCGACATGAATCAACCACCATTTTTCTAGTGTTCATTATTTCTGAGAAGGATTAAATCGACATCAACACTGCAATGTACCGAACTTTATGAATATGGTAAAAAGTAGTTTAAAGTAAGCTTTTGAACTATTAAATTGATTTAACTTCATTTCAAGCAAAACTCCGATAAATTTGCTCGCAAGGTGAGCTAACACAAGTGTAGATAAGTCCAGTAATGAGTAGAATGAGGTGAGTGACGTGAGTTACATTGAATGGGCTTGGTCACGGTCACAGTCACACAACTAGTCGAGATATGAGGACCGTAAATGTGTCGAAATAGTCAAGTGAGGCAAGTCCATTCAACTGGAAGCTTTTCAGGTGGGGCGAGGTCATTCCATTGGAGGGGTGTCTGGTGGGGCAAGCCCATTCAATTAGAGGGGTGTCAGATGGGGTGAGTCCATTCCATCTGAGGGGTGTCTGGTGGGATGGGTCCATTCCATTAGAGGGGAGTCAGGTGGGGCGAGTCCACTCCAACTGAGGGGTGTTGGGTGGGGCGAATTCATTCCATCAGAGGGGAGTCAGGTAGGGCGAGTCCACTTCATCAGAGGGGTGCCAGGTGGGGCAAGTCCATTCGATCAGAGGGGAGTCAGGTGGGGCCAGTACATTGCATCTGAGGGGTGTCAGGTAGGACAAGTTCATTCCATTGGAGAGGTGTCAGGTGGGGCAAGTCCATTCCCTTTGGTGGGGGGGGGGTATTATGTGGTATTACGTGGGGCAAATCAGTTCAATTTGAAGGGTCACAGATATACTTAATCGAGCATAATTTACCCATATTCAGGAATCTATGGAATCCGGAAATGGTCACAAAAACACATAAAGAAATCAGAAATTAATTTCAAACATATTTTCTAACTACCTCAATTTGGTTCAGAGAAAAGGAACTAAAAAGTGTGTATATGTTATACCCTCAGAATGTAAATTTTGGGCAAAGTTCAACTATTGCCGTTTAAAAAACGTGGTTTAAGGTTACATCAGAATAATTCCCACTTTCATTTTTATATTAATTGAAGTATTCACATAAAGAATAGGTCACCCAATATAAATTAATATACAGTTGCAAACTAGAACCGTCAAAAATGGGCTGATCCTATATTAGGAAATTTATGTTCAGGAGGGCAAATGATTTAGTTCCATTTTGCTATAGAACAAATTTAAAGTGAAGTTCTACAAAGCAGGATTGTAAATTTTACAAATAAATTATAAATGTGGATTGTTGGAAACTGTTTTAGATTTTCTTTTAGTGTGTCAAAACAGCTGAAATGTTAAAGTCCCAATTATACAAAACGCTGGATATATTTGTTACGACGTTTACAAATATTTTAATTTTAAATACATGTATTCTTAGGCCAAAAACATTTAGACATAAATTAAGTCCTCAAACACGAAATTTCCTTTTATCTTTACTACTATCTTTATCAACAATTTATAAAAAAAAAATTAAAAACTTAAATAACAAAAGTATTTATTCAGTATTCATATAATTGATGCACGAAGGGGCGAAGAGTTCCTGGCTATGAAACAAAGGCTAGGCTTCATAGGTTGCTTGCAGGCGCAGGTTGTGCAGAATCTCGTTGAACTTCTGAAAAGAAAAATAACTATTATAGCTACGGTAGTATGTTACCTTACGCCTGTACAATGAAAAGGTCCCATCGAGTAATTTCGTTTTGCCGTTCATATCGTACATTTGGAGTCCTAAAGCATTGTAACCGAAAGGCTAAATACTACTATTTTGAATGACATTTAAGTAACGATGGGAATATTAGTATAAGGACTCGAATATTTGTCGTAAATATTCTTTAATTCGTCTTCCCCTTTGATGTTTAATGGAGGTGGTTATTGAAGAAATAGTGATACTCACATTTATGTGTTTGCTTCTACGCCCTTCTACGCGACTTTGTGACTGCACCACACAAACTGTTGCGTCTACACACGTCTCTGTCCAACTGCCAATTGAGCATTCGGGAGGACAGCTCACACAACGAAGAGCAACTTATTTGCATGCAAATTACAACAGGTATGGCTCATTTGAGGTGAGATGTTGTTACTGAAACTGTTCACGAATATTCAATAAATTCAGTGAAGATGCCTTCACACGTGCACGCTCAAAATTGTGCGTGTAATCGGTGTCACATACGATACTTATACGCAGGCCTACATTGTGTACCTCTGTATGTTAGTTGTGTCAGAACCTTTATATATTGGTTAGTTTATCAGCAAACATTATCAGAATGTTGTCCTCACGTTCTACACTATCATTATTATAAATGATCCCAGAAATATTGTCATCAAACTCCAGGCCTACATGTATTAACGTGTAAGATTTGACGAATTTTTTAATCATAGGGGCCTACAAGTTTTGTTAATTTAAGAAAAAAATATATTCAAAAAGGATTTCAGATTTTGAATCATTACAATTTGCACAATTTTAATGATCATATCTAACGTGTTGAAAACGTCCCCACAATGTCAAAATAAAATTATATATGTCGGTCATATTTACCCAGATATAGCCTATAGCAAGCAGTGATCGCGCCGACGCTGGGCCACAAGCCTACGTTTTATCTTACACCCCATTCTCATAGATTAGATCGACCTACATTGGATCGACCTAACTCCCTGGGGGTTCACGCTAAATAGCTGTCAGCCGGGCGGACACGAAAGTTAATTACCCCTTAAAGCTTGTAGTAGGTGGGGACGGACACTTAAGGGGGATTATCTGACAGTAATCTAGTGAGACTCCCCGCGGTGATAGATCGATCTAAAAGTTGTGAGAACAGAGCCTTACACTGATTGAACAATACCTAGGCAGCTTATTAAAATTATCATAATTATCATTATTAAAATTGGGCTTGGTTTTTGCCGGCGATTTAAGAGTGGTGCAGATTTATAAACCTTTGGCCTACGTACCCGAGATAACCGACATGTGATGAAGAGCTATTAAACTGAATAAACAACTAGTTTAATTACTTTTAATTACTTTTTGGAAGGGTTAAATAGACATCATTACTTAAACCAACTTCATCAAAGTGCTTAAAAAGATGTTTAAAAACAGCCCAATCTTGCTAGTTTTTTTTTTTTTTTTTTTTTAATGAGGAACGTAAATTGTCTTAATTCCATTTTAAGAAATACATTTTAATCAACTTAATCACAAGTGCAGTTAACATAAGAGTGAATAAGTCTAGCAGTGAAATGAGTTGATTGAGTTGAGTTAGGCCTACGTTGAACAGTAGCCCCACTTCATCACGGTCATCTAGCTGATCCTATCCATCCACCCACAACTAATCAAAATATGAGAATTGAAGTCTATATCTCTAAATAGACATAGGCCTACTTATAATTGTGAGGTACAGGTCCATATGGCCCTAATTTTTACATTTTTAATATTCTCTAAACG